TTTTGCATACGCTTTTGGTGTGCTATGAATTTTACTGCAGGATTTTAAAAAGATCAGTAGCCTGTGCTACCAGCATCTGGATGCCATAGGGCCTGTAGAAAGAAGCCAGCAGTTTCGCACTTGCTGGATGCATTCTGTAGTTTTCGCATCTTTCCTGCTTGGCCTAGTTAGGCCTGTGTTGAGAGCATGGAAAGTTCTTTCGAGTTAGCTGGGTATGCTTTTTCAATAAGACCAGGATCGGTGTATATTATGGTCTCTATAGCAGTCAGCACGCTTTGACTAATCATGCTGTAAATTATAGACTGGGAAATGCACATACCGATAGCGAGGGCCCAGAAGTTGTCATGGCCTGTAGGGTATTTCTTTATGATTCCGGTGTGGAACATATCGATAGATCCGATCGCTTTAAAGACAATCGCATTCATGATTAGGATAGCGGGAGAACTTGCCATGAAATTGACCAAGTACGGGAGCTTGGTGTTTTTCTTTGACATCACATCGGCAAACGCATTTTTCATGGACTTTGTGTAGCTTGTTCCGAAAAGTGCATTGTACGCCATGCAGTATCTGTTTATCTCTTTGATAGTAATGTGCAGAATGTGAAGGATCAGCGAAATGACAACAGAAACAATGGAAAGTACAATCAACATATAGCCGTCTTGATTTCTCCTAAATGCTCGCCTTTGTGCTGCATCATTACACTGCTCCAGCGCAAGAACAATCCCTGCAAGCAAGCCTGCAATGAAAATAGTTCCAAAGGATCTGCATGTTCTTTTGAGGCTCTCAACCATAACGGAGCGCTTGTCATTGCACGCCTTCTTAAGCATGTGCATGTGCGTCATCTTGCCATAGAAGACCGAGAAGGCGTTAAAGACAGTCATCAAAAAGACTAGGTTGAACAGCAGCATGTACACGATCTTGAAGATGGTAGATGCATCAAAGAGTCTTAAGCTCAGGTCACCAAACATATCACCAAAAGCCACGCAGACAACCTGTATACAAGCGAAAACCACAAAGAATGCCATGAAAGAAACATACACAAAAAGCATGCATTTCAGGTTGGACACTATCACATGCGAAGACACGCGAATCATCGCCTTTACAAATTCAATGTTTCTTACTATGCAAATTAAAAACACTACTGACACAGCGACTAGAAGCAATCCTATAAAAACATTCCCAGGAATCATTGGTCTTTCAGTGAAAGACGTGTATACAAAAAACAAGGAGGCACCCAGCATAAAGCCCGCATTGGTGTACGCCATGACCTTTGGAAACAGGTAGTAAAGCAGCGTGCAGCCCACAGAAACCAAGAAGAACCCAAGTGCCAAGGACAAAAGCACTGCACAGGGCGTGCCCCAAACATATGTTTGAAATGCTGTGGAGACAAGACTCCCCGCAAAATTAGAGCTAGAGAGACAAAACGAGAAAAATACAATAGCATTAACAATGCCAAATACCCCCATGGTTTTGTCTGTGAATGTGTTCTTGGTTTCTATTTTAGAAACATATGGTCTTTCTTCTATTCTATTCATTTTAAATTTTTGTTGTGTTTTTTCTATATATGCATAAAATCACATTTTATTGGAGTATTAAAATAGTTCTCCGATCGGAGAGAAGTAAAATCACTTATTTGCAATCCATAAAAAGAGACAAAACTCTGCACTTTTTAGTGTAGAGAGATAAACTTCTTCTGCTTATGAAATATGCACAGTAAGACTAAATAGCCCGGGCAATAGCCCAGGGTTCATGGAATGGATGGCGGATTAATGCAGTTTCAGTGGGGGGTTGGTCTTTGTTTGTTGTTGAAGTGTGACGTTTTTGGATTGTTCTGTTTATACTACTGGAGGTGCTAGTGAAACTGCAGCTTTTATTTGTTAGGCTTGGCCTGCTTGAATAGGCATTATTTGGTATATTCCTTAACATCTAAATTATGTAGCCCCTTAATTGGGCCCGTCTAAGCAATAACCAACTACGAGTAGCTAGCTTTCAGCATACAATAGTTCTCTTCAAGAAAAAATCGCACTTTCATTCGCCTCCCAAACACGCCCGAAAAAGTGTCTGCGAATGACAGTGTGTCTTATGAATTGCTCCTTCTTGGGCTGCACTTCAGGAGAGAGATTGCGCGCTTATTTTGAAAACTTCGTGCAATTGCGGATTCAGAGCGTTTATTTGGGGGTTTGGCATTCCAAACATCCATTCCACACACGGATGCGGCAGTGGACTTTATTCGGACTATGCGCCTAGAAAGAAGAGTTGACAGCGCATGTTTGCCATCAATAAAGCTGGGAACTAAGTTGAAATGGAAGTTCAGAACAGCAGGAGGGTGCTCCAGCGCCTATTTTCTTGCGGAAATGCCCACGTACCTCTCTGAAACCAACTTTAGGCGCTTGTTTTCTCCCAGAGCTGAAGACGTAAATCACACAAACTCTAGAACACTTTTTTACATTGGGGAGTGCCCGTGCTCAAATAGTTCTGTAAATTTCTTCTGAGTGCCCGGTTGTGCACTGCTTTAAGAAGTGCTTGGACTATTTGAGCAGGGCATATATGCCAGGAGGGTGCAGGGCCCAGGCGGGGGTCCGAATGCTTTCAAGTAGTTATTAATCTTAAAGTACTGCCCGAACAGTGCGCCTATGTTTGTGCTGCTGCGCGCAAACAGCCCGAAAGAGCGGAGATGCAGTGCAAGTCCCCGAGGAAAAAGAATATCCTCGTAAAATTCGGGGGTTTTCTCTGAAGAAGATGTGCGAAAAAGTATCGTATGTAGCCTGTGTTTTAGTATAGGCCATTTCTTCGGGCACGCCTACGCTTCTTACCATGTGCTCAAGAAGGCATACTTTGCCCGTGCTTCCTAAGAATTTATGCCCACTCCGGCCAAGCCCAGTATATGGCAACTCTTTGCCCCTATTCTCTGGAGTCTGAAATAATAGCGTATGTTTGTTTTTCTTCCAACAGGCAAATGCACAGCAGAGGAAACAGCAAATTCGTAATTTTTTTCAAGTTGCATAATTTTCATAATAGCAGCCCTCAGAGGATCACAGAGTGTTGATACAGAAAAATGACAGAAAAAGCTTGCATAATATATCATTTGAGTAATGCAAGGGGAAAAGTTGCTAAATAGAGTAAAAAAGTATTTATGTGGAAATTAGCGTTTATTTGTTGGACTTGCGTGCTTGTATATGCGTGTGTTTAATTTACCATAGGCATGTGCTGCTGCAAGCCATTTTTCATTTGTGTTGAGCAATGGCTGGATGCCCTTCTCCCAGCTTATTCCTGTGGGCATTCTGCGGGCTCTGCCTGTTTTTACCAGATTTTGGCCGTTTCTTCTGGAATTCGCATGGGCAAAGACGGCGCGAGGAGCTGCCTTTTTCCCAGCCAGCTGCAGAGCGCGAGTAGACACGCATGCAGGCTGGCTTTGCGCTGAAATGGCGCTTTGGCGCGATCATTTCCCGCCAAAACATGCGAGATTTCTCGCATGGGCATATATTGTGCTATCTCGAGGGTAAAAATGAAATTTGAAGGAAACAACCAGAATATAAGCACGCAGGCAGCTGAAGAAGTGATGCCTGCTCCAGGCTTTGCCGGGAACCGATACAAATTCGCCAAGGGCAAGAATCCCGACCCCACTGCAGGCACTGCCAAAACAGACGCATACATGTGGGGGCGGGCAGTCATTAGCACGACAGGGGAATTATTGGAAAATTGCGGGTTTTTGATTATTTATCATATATTCGTGTGTGGGACCATGTACTCGTTCTTGATAGGAGTGTTTATACAGATAACCTCCCAAATAGGCACGATGGGGACTGTGTTCATGCAGGAAGATGCATCTCCAGGCGGGGAGAGACATGCAGAAGACAGAGCAGGCGGAAAGCCCACTGAAGAGAAAAAGTCAAGCGAGCCTGTTTTTGAGACATACAGGGAGATTGTAACAGCGCCAGTGAATAAAGTGTCAGAGGCGTACGCCGTTGTTACAATGCTTCAAAGCACTTTTCTGGCCAGTGCTTTCGCCGTGCTCATAGCCACCAAAATTCTCTCCTTCGTGGGGATGGTGGTGGGCCGGTCTTCTTTTCCCGTGTGGTGGAGCAAAGACTCGTCGTATGCGTCAAATCTTCTGCTTGTGATCATTATTCTTCTTATTCTTATGGAGAAAAAAAAGCTCGTCCTCAGAAAAACAAGAGACTTCGTGTACATAGGCTTTTTCGCGGCTTTTGTGCTCGTGAATGCAGCACTTTTGGCATACCTTCTGTCGATAGACCCAGGCTGGCTTCTTTTGCAGAAAGAGCCTAGAGTGCACCCTGGGATAATATACAGCCCGTACAGGGAAACACTGTGCGGGCGCGGAATATCGGCGATATGCACTCCCATGCTCCACAACACGTGCAGCTTTGTAATGCGAGAAAAGAGGCTTCAGCAAGAGAAGAGAAAAAGAGGCGTCCGATTTGGGGTTTCTGTCATTTTGAGCGCTGTGTATTTCATGGTTGCAGTCGTTGGGTTTATTGTGTACGACAAGTCGCTGTTTGGCATCGTGTGCGGGGACTTCTTTTTTGGCGCTACGGAGATGCTTCAGAAAAAAGCGGAAGCTCCGCATCTTGCCAGGCATAGGCGGGGGCTTATGCGGTTCCTGCTCGCTATGAGGGCGCTTGAGCTTGCGTCAATAGTCGTGCTGGCGAACTCTGCAGTGAAGCACATTGGCGTACTGTGTGCTAGGATGTTCCCGTGGATTGAGAAGATTCTTGCGCACATTGACGATGAATACGCTGCCGCGCACTATGGGAGAAAGGACATTGAGACTTCGATATGCGCCATCAAGTATGGGGTGGCGACTGCCGTGCTATTTTCAACTGCGGACTTTATAGTGAGAAAAAACATTCCGATGGCTCTCAGCCTGTGCGGGCTGACTCTCACGCTGGGCATATGCGCAGTCTTTCCTGTGGCCGTGCAAGTTATGAAGGCAAAAGCTGTCCGCAGAAAAGTGCAGCTGCTTCCCGCAAAAAGCAGCTACGTGCTTGCGAGTGCATGCGGGCTTATTCTTGTGTTCTCTGCTGTTATTATCCCGTGGCTTGCCTCTGCTCGCCAGTAAAGCAGAGGGAAATGCCCTGGAAAGTGCATCTATTTGGACATTCCGCTGGGCGACTTATGTATATGGAATGTGCGGGTGGATCTAGTGGGGCTGCTGTCTAAGTGATAGTGAGTTCGCTGTATTTATTGAAAGAGGCTTGCTTTGCTTCTGCAGCACGGCGTATGCGCCTGCAGAAATCTTGCCTTTTCTGCATAGTGCACGCTAGCACTTTCCTCAGACAGGCGTTTCTAGGAGCCTTTGGGTGCTCTGCTTGGATGCTTTCCTGCAAGCTCAGTGCAGGGTAAGCCGCATGAATCTGCAATAAACACATCATACTGGAGAATCTTTAACTGGAGAGAGCCTGCGCAGGAAATGCAACGGCTATTTTGAGCACCCGGTCTTTCCAAGCCACCAAAAGCCTGCACGCCTCGGGACTTCTCTACTTTTCTGGGCACGAGAAGCACGGGCACACACGCACTTTCTGCCTGGAGTTGGCGCTAAAGAAAAGTTCTAGCCCGAAGTTTTTCTGAACGCTTCCAGGCGGCTTCTGCAGGTCTTGAATTCGGGTATGCACACGAGCTTCACTTCAGACGCGATTACAGGGCGTGCTAAGGAAAGGCGGCCGAGGCATGCACGGAAAATAAATTAGACCCAGCCAGTGCCATGCTGCAAAAGCACTCTTTCCTGGCCGGGCGTATAGCAGTCCCCTTTAAAAGCGCAAAAGCACCGCCAGAGTGTGCAGCACGGGCCTTTTCAGCTGCAGAAACCAGAGTTTATGCGGTCTATGGGCATTCCAGCGCGTTCTGCTTTGGGCCTAGGCGATAAACATGCACTGCACTCTACAGAGCTGGAACTCCAGAACTTCTGCCGTGCGGGTCATACGGCCTTCTGCGCATATACGCCAAAGAAGCTCAAAACCTCCAAAACTCCGTCAAATGTTAGGCAGACCCCGCCTGCTATCCCCAGAAGACACAGGAAAATCGAGATGCCAATGTACATCCGAATTTGAGACAGGGTGCAGTCCTCAAAGAAGAACGTGTCCCTGTAGTACACTCCATTCCACCTGCCTGTATACGCGTATATTTTTTGGACGTATCGGGAGATTATAGCATAGTACGCGATAAAGAGGAGAAAATGCTCTGCTATTCCTATTTCCGCGCTGTACTGTGCAAATGTGCTGGCGCATTCATCATACACCAAATAGACCATGTGCATAATCACGAGGTTTATAAGCCCTACGAGGAGGTACAGGCCCAGAGTAAAGTCTACTTTCGTCCGGAGCCTGGGCGAGAAAACGCCCAAATAGCTGAGCTTCCCGACGAAAAACATAAGGACAGACTTAAGCACCAAAAAGCTAACGATAATGAGCCCGTACGACAGCAGCAAATACGACTCGTCCGACTCTAGCCCCGCAGGAAACGCCTTCCCTCCCCCGCACATCACGCGAGAAATGTGCTCAGTAAGGGCCGTATACAGAAAGGGCCCAACTATGTACATGGGAATGCTGTAAAGAACCAGGATGTAGACTGCAGTTGCTCCAAAGTACGTTTTCCCGCCTACCCCTAGCGTGCTTATGTCTAGCCCCATGTTTCCATGCGCAGCTGCATGGGCGTATGGATCCTGCAGCTGCAGCCCAGAGTTCCCTAGTATGCTCGGTATGTGAATTGATGGCCGCGGGTCTATATACCCGGTAACGATATCGTGATAGTTTGGGGGAGGCGTATACACGCAGTTAGATTCAGGGAGAGTCAGTGCCTCTGAGTACGCAGGAGGCGGATACCCAAACGGCATTCCAGCATCAGCCACTTCATTTGGTCTTTCTTGGCTGTTCGTCATTTGGAAAACATCAGCCCGAGTTATAAATAGGGTGTATACATTGCATTACAAATATTTCAAGAAAAGAAAAATTAGTCTCTGCCCACGAAAAATCCAAATTCAAAGACGTATTTTTTCTTTGCTTCCTCCAGTGCTGCGGGCATAGAAATGCATTTATTTTTTCGGGTCTGCATCTTTCGGCTGGCTGCAGTCAAACAGAATTTTGAACGCCCCCGTTCCAATTGGAATTCTCTGCCCGCTAATGATGCACTCGCTTACGCCGTCAATTTTGTCCTCGTACCCGGAGTATCCCGCCGTGAAAAGGTGCTCTCCCGTTTGCTCAAAACTGGCCAGGGTGAGGACGCTTGAGCCCCCCATTTTCTGCAGGCCAAACCTTGTCATTCCGCATATTTCCCCTGTAAAGCACATCACGTCTGCGAGCAGGCCTATATGGCGCACGTCCACTGATATTCCGTGTCTTCCAATCGTGTACTGGATTTCCTTTACAATCGACTCTCTGGCAGCCTCTATCCCCAGGGTCTTGTACGTTTCGTATATGTTGTTTGTGCTGGTTTCGTACGGGTTTATGCCCTCCACGCCCAGTATTTCCTGCAGCCCCGTGCCCTCAGCGATGATTTCGCTCTCTGTAGTTATCACGCGAGAGACGGTGGAAATTCCCCTCAGCCTGGTTTTAAGGAGTTTGTCGATTTCCGAGGGCAGAGGCTTCTCCAAGGGAGTCTCCCAGCAGTAGAAGTTGTCTCTTTTTGCGCTGCCCAGCAACTTCATTTCCCTCTCCAGCCGGTGCTTCTCCACCTGCGCCTCCGGGATCCGGAACACAGCGGAGACTTTGTTCGTGGAAACAGAGCCTGCAATGTCTCCAACGGTGACTGGCTGTATTCTCTCCGGGAGCAGTGCGGAGTGCCCGGGCAAAGGAACCACCTTTATAAGCGGAGTACTGATTGCCGTGCTTGCATTTATGATCTCTTTCAACCTGGGAACCCCGAGGGTAATGCTGGCTCCGGAGGTACCTGCCAAGTGGAAGGTCTTCAGCGTCATTTGCGTGCCAGGCTCTCCTATGCTCTGCGCTGCCAGTGCGCCCACAGCTGTTCCGTACTCTATTTGCGACTTCAGCGCCTGGAAAAGCATTTTGCTCGTGAAGAGCTGCTTTGTTGCAACATCTGCGCCCTTTTCGCACATGTACGAATTTATCAGGCGCGTCATGTGGCTGTTTTCGTGCCTGAAAAGGACGTATCCCACCTCCCTATTAACTGCGCCCCAGACAGAGTCCGCTATTTGCCCAGTGCTTGGGTCGTATATAGAGCCCCACACAGAAGCAACTGCTTTTTGTATGAGCACAGCCGACGGGTGCATGCGGGCAGAGTGGCTTTCAGAAAGCGTGCTTCCATCTGCAGACTCCTTCGCGTCCAGAGCCCAGTTGTAAGCAGACGGCATGTCCGTTACTAAAGTTCCCTTTTGCAGGAGAACTGGATCCAGGCCGTCGTCTCCAAACTGCATCTGCATGATCTGCTGGCCCCTTCTAACTGTTCCATCGTATGCAACGTATACGCCCTCCAGAACCTTCATGAGCCGCCTTTGCATATACCCCGTCTCTGCCGTTTTGACTGCAGTGTCCACAAGCCCCTCTCGCCCACTCACTGCGTGGAAGAAGAACTCGGTTGGCGACAGCCCGGAGCAAAATGAGGACTGCACAAACCCTCGCGCTGCGTGGGTGTTCCCTGCAAAGTGCGGAAGAGTTCGGTCCCCAAAGTCCAGGGAAATCCGCTGCCCTCCAACCACTTGCTGTCCCACGCATGCAACCATCTGCGAGACGTTTATGAGACTTCCCTTGCTCCCGGACGCCTGCATGATCACAGGCGAGTTTCCCGAGGAGAGTTTTTCTATGCAGTGCTTCCCTGCGTCTTCTCGGGCCCTGGAGAGAATCGAAATGGTTTTGTCCTCGGGCTTCTCCATGGCCTCAGCCTGGCACGTATCAACCGCCTGCGCAATTAGCTGGGCAAGGTCTTTCTCTGCAAACACGTCGTCCAGGCCTATGCTGAACCCGACCTCTCCAAGGTACCTTGAGCACAGCCGGGCAATTGCATCCAGCGCCTTCACCACCACTTCGGGCCCGCCCTCTCTCAGCTCGTAGTGAAAAATAGTGCCTTCTTCTGCGCCGACCACTTTCTTGTCAGCCCTTCCAAAAAGTATCTCTCCGTCTTTCATGACGAACATCCCCTCGTTCTGCGACGCATACGTGCTGTTGGGCGTGCAGTTTCGGGTCCGAATTTCCACAGAAACAGTCAGGTTTAGTGCCTGCCCCATCAGGGTCTTCCCCGTGTAGAGAACAGCGGGCCTTAAAATTGTGGGCTTGGCCTGCATTCTGCTGGTCCTATTCGGGAGCGCATACACAATCATTTGCCCGAACTGTTTTTTCGTGAAAAAAGTAGACTTTTTTGTAATGAGGTAGCTGCCCGTTATAAAGTCCTGCGTGGCTGCAATAAGAGGCTGGCCATTTCTGGGAACTGCCAGGTTGTTTTTCACCCCCATAAGCTCCAGGGCCTCTACGCGCGCCTCTGTTGTTTGGGGCAGGTGTATGTTCATTTCGTCCCCGTCAAAGTCTGCGTTGTAGGGGGAGCAGACGCACTCGTTGAATCGAAGGGTCCTCCCAGGAAGCACCTTCACTTTGTGTGCCATTATGCTCAGCCTGTGCAGTGAAGGCTGTCTGTTGAAAAGCACTACATCGGAGTCCTGCAAGTGCCGCTCCAAAATGTCTCCACTCTCCAAGTCAATGGTGTTGTTGTGGCGCAGGAATATTCTCCGGTCGTTCTTCAGCAGGTAGTTTGCTCCGGGGTAGGATGTGCACCCATTTCTGGAGAGCAGGGAAAGGGCTTCTTTGTTGCTGTCTGTTACGGGCACGGGCACCGTTAGCGTTTTTGCCATTTCCTCGGGAATTCCCACCTGCTCCACGCTTAGGTTTGGGTCTGGGGATATAACGGTACGCCCGGAAAACTCGACTCTTTTTCCGGAGAGGTTTCCCCGGAAGCGCCCGTGCTTTCCCTTCAGCCTTTGCACAAGACTCCGGATCTTTGCAGAGTCTGGCCGGGAGTCTGAGCTAATTAGCTGCGCGCACTGCGACTGCAGCAGGTCCCAATTCTCGGAAAGTGCATGCAGCGAGACGCCCTTGTCTATTTCGTCCCGGATCAGCTGCGAGGTATACGAGATCTCGCTCAACTTGATTGTCAGGTCGTCTTCGTTCGAGGAAGAGTCCAGCGACATCACGCTCGGGCGGATAGTTCCTGGGGGAACGGGAAGACATGTGATCATAAGAGAAGGCGCGTCACACGCCATCCCGAGCAGGGCTTTGGAGTCCTCCGAAATATTTCTGAGGATGCCCAGAGCTGTCACAGGGGATATGTACTCGTCTGGCATGTTTTCCACCCAGCTGGCCAGGTCTGGGTTGTCCTTCACCGAGTCTGCGTAGAGAGACTTTTCAATTTCTTTCTGCGTGTCGTGCTTTTTCAGCCTGTGCACCCGGTGGAAGAACTTGTACCCGGTCTTTCTGACAATCCCGTTGATGCTCATGCACTTCGTGCACTCAACGGTTTTTTTGCACTCGTCGTACACCTTTTTGATGACTCTTTGCTGCAGGGACCGATTATCTTTTCTCGCTCTGAGCTTTATTAGAAGCTGTGCCTGCGTTTCGCTCGGGAGCAGTATTGAAGAGCACTGCTTGCACACGCTTTGCAGGATTTTGTGGATGTTCTTGAGAAGGCCCGGGTGAAAGACGGGGAGGGCCAACTCGATGTGCCCGAAGTGGCCAGAGCACTCTGCCATCTTCTCGCCGCACGTATTGCACACCGTGTCCTTTGTGCTCGGTCCCAGGCGCAAGTCCAGCGGCCCTAAAGCTGCCGGAGACTTGTTTTCTCCTGCGTACAAGTCCCGGGAGGAAACCGACACAACCGACATTCCGCGTATTTCTGAGTCTTTGAGTATTTCGAACTTTATCTTGGATATGTCTCTTGGTATATACTCTTTATGCATGTGCAAATATTTTTCATGCAAGTCTTCTATAGATTTCGATCTGAAAGAGACTTTAGTAAAGTGGAAACAGACAGGTCTTCAATGCCGCTGTGGGAGCTGAAGGCAGAAATAGCCACAAAAAGGAACCTGACCCTGCACGACTATCACCTGATATTCTACGTGGAGAACGAGAAGGCCCCTATTACAGACAACTATGCGGTAATATACAGCAACATGAATATTGTCATAGAAAGAGTCCCGAACTACATTAACGTCGGGTACAAGGAGGCGCTGGAAAAAATGAAGCAGCCAGAAGAGGCTGCAAAGAAGCAGGAGGAGACCGCAAGCATATCCATGCACAGCATGCACGGGGCACGGGTTCCGCCAGAGTCTTATACCTGCTTCAGGTGCGGGCAGAAAGGGCACTTTATCCAAATGTGCCCTACAAACAGCAACAAGCAGTACGACTCGATGCGAATAAAGAAGGCAACGGGAATCCCGAAAACATTTCTTGTTCCTGTTGAGGAGACATCGCCCACGTCCGTCCTCCTCAACGAAGAGGGAAAGTTCGTCCGCGCACAGCCACAAACAAAGGAGTTTTCCAGGCGGTTCAAGCCTGCAGAGGAGAGGTCCATTCCCAAGGAGTTGCAGTGCCCGCAGTGCAACAACCTGCTCGTGGATGCTGTCAAGCTCAAGTGCAAGCACACGGTTTGCGAGTACTGCGTGCTAAACAGATGCCCCGTCTGCAAGAAGAAGACGGCAAGCCCGAAAATAGACACAAAAGCAAGAAGGCATGTGGAGGCGTTCTTGGAGAACAGCAAGGCGTAGGAAGGGCCTGCCGTGCCTTGCATCTGTGATTTAGCGATTTCTATAGTAAATACCACTGCTTGTTTTTATTGTAAACCGAACGGGTTGTGCTAGGCATGGCCGCGTGCTGGACAGCCCCAACTTACTCGGTGCTGCCGCTCGCCCAGAAAAGCAAGTTTCAGCCCGTTTCAGCCCACCAGAGTCCATGCGGGCGCACATTCGAGAGATCCCTGCAAGAAAAGTGCATATTTCCCACAAGGGGCAAACCGCCCGTTCATCTACGGAAATGCACTTTATTGCAGCACTCTACTCGGATAATTTTATGACTTCGATCCGGTTCGTTTCAAAAAGATGCTTTATCTCCGGGTCGCACGTGTACTCGTGCACGTAGTAGACTTTGGATATCTGCAGCTGTGCTATTTTTCTGGAGCAGAGCCGGCACGGGTACGTGGTTGTGTACAGCTCAGATCCCCGAATATCCGCAGAGTTTCTTTCCAGGAAGGCACTCTCCTCCGCGTGGATGCAGAAACAGTCTGCGAGCTCTCTTCCTTTGTGCGTGTTGTTGTTGCACCTGCTGCATCCCCCGTCGCAGCAGTTTACAGTCGACGTGGACGTGCCGTTGTACCCTATAGATAGAACGCGGTTGTTCTTTACAATAACAGCTCCCACCTTTCTCTTCATGCAGTTGGAGCGCGTTGCTGCGACCTGGGCTATGCTCATAAAGTACTCCTGCCACGTCGGCCTGCTTCTGTGGTTGCACACTTCTTCAACCCTGTCTTCCCGGACTTCAATTAGGTTGGTTCTGTTTAGGAAGCCCTTTTTCACCTCCAGCATCCCGCTAATGTACTGGTTGTGCTGTAAAAAATCAATTTGATCGCCCTCTTTCAGCAGAGGATGCACGACAATTAGCACGGAAAACGGCCTCGTGTAAAACTGCAGCCAGTCCTCAGGCCTGTCCAAGTGGACGACTAGGTCCATCTTCCACCGGGCACTATCCATTATTTCTACCATTGCCCCGTCCTGATTTGGCTGCTGTCTGAAGCCTTTTTTAAGCAAAGTGTCTACTGCATGCAGGCCTGCTCTTTCCAGAATGGATGTAACACAGAACAGCATGGAAAAATTTTAATGGGATATGCACTCTTTGTTATTGGGCCAGCTGGATCTGGAAAAACATCTCTTTCCCACATGCTGAAGGAGTACTATACTTCGCAAAATAGAAGCGTATCTATAATTAATCTAGATCCTGCGCAGACGCTGGAGGATTTGGACTTTTCGTTTGACATTCGCAACCACATTGAAGTCGCAGAAATCATGGAGGAGGCAGACTTTGGGCCAAACGGGGCGCTGATGGCGGGGCTGGAGGCCATTTCTGACCATTTGGACGTGATGGAGCTGCCGGAGGACGACGGCGCATTTCTTATTTTTGACTGTCCCGGGCAGATAGAGCTCTACGTCCACTCCGACTCCATAATGAAAATAGTCCAGGAGATGGGGAAAAACCACTACACAATGGCGATATACGCACTCGATGCAACGCACGCATTTGACACGGCTAAGTTTGTCTCTGCTGCAGTTTCAGCGACCATTTCCATGTGCAAGTTTGAAGTCCCGCACATAAACGTCCTCACAAAGTGCGATCTAGTCCCAAGCGAGGACCTCGAGGACTTTCTTTTTGGAATGGACATTGAAAATATTGCGGAAAAACTTCCTGCACACACCCCGAGGGAGAAAAAGTTCAACCACGCGCTGACCACGATTATCCGGGACCAGGGCCTGCTCGGGTTTATACCCCTGGACTACAAGAAGGAGAACTCGCTCGAGGCCTTGGCGTACCAAATAGATACATGCGTGCAATATATTGACGCGCACGAGGACGATGACTGAGTTAGGCTACTATCGCATGCCAAACACAAAGCAGCCGCAGCATCTCCTGCACTCTTGTTGGATGTGTCTGTTTGCGCAGGAGCTGCAAATGCGGCCTCTACTTCTCGCGTGGAACGTGCACGCGCACAAGGAATAAATGGAGCTGTCTAAATCACCGCTGCGCGCGGATATTGCTCAGGCTGAAATGGCTTAGTTTATTGCATTGCTACGCACACTATGCTTCTATTTGGGCGTGCTTTCTTAATATTTCCAGGATTTTTTCGGAGTCTTTCTGTGCGTGGCTCTCCTCCATTTTGATGTACGCATTTAACATGTCTTTCTTGCAGGGGGCCACCCTCAGAGCTTTTTGCATGAGGATTCTTGAGTTCTCCACGTCCCCCACTGATCTCAGCGCATTTGCTGCAGTGGTCCATGCCTTCTGGCTTCCCGCGTGCTTTTTGGGCAGCTCCAGCGCATGCTCCTTTATTTTCGCCTTGTCTCCTATGTGGATGAAGTACTCGAGGTGCGAAAAGCGCAGTTCTTCGGAGTCCGGGTACTTGAACTGCGCCCGCTTGTAAAGACTGTCTATCCGGGACTTGATGTAGTCTCGCTTGCTGTGGACTTTTTTCGCCCTTTTCGCATAGATCCGTTGCAGCATCACCTCGTACTCAATGTACAGCAGAAATATAGTGAATCTGGGGTTAGTCGCCAGCATCTCCTCGAAGCTTTTTCTTTTTCTGACAATGGCCTGGATCTCCTCCTGCTTGAATATCGCCCGAGATTTGTAGTAGCTCAGTTCTGGCACCATATACTCCATTTCAGAAACGACTGCATGCGTCATAAAATATTTTACTGGGCGGAATAAATACGAAAACTTTTAATTCGCCCTCTGTTTGCATGAAAGACACCGAAGAAATACTGCGGGAGTTTAACATAGAGGCAGAGTGTGGGGAAAGCCAGAAAACCCATCTGCGTGCCTGCAAGGAGGAAAAAAGGGATCCGTACTCGCTGGTGGAGGCTGCCCTGAAGGACTTGGACATTGAGGACATAGATAACGCAAAAATGACGCTGACAAACTCCCTGAATGAGTCCCTTATGCGGAGGGAGAAGCTGATCCGGAACAACTTCACCACGTACATAAAGTGCAGGAAGACTTTGGAGGAGCTGCAGGAGATGAAGGTGAACAGGGACAGCTCAGAGTACTTTGACATTAAAGGGCTGGCAGCCATGGAGGCTCTGATAAGCCCCATTATCCGGGAGAACTCTGAAATCCACAGAAAGCAGCAGCAAATGGACTTTATCCTGAATAACAGCCTGCTTTTCAACGCAGAAACAATTTTGAACGACTATCTGAAAGTCAGCGACTTTACGTCTTTCCTTATGGACTATGCGCTTGTTAAAAAAGAGGCTGCTCGGTTCAAAAGCTCAAAGTTTATCTCCTACCTGTTTTCAAAAACAATCCCAATCCTGGCCAAGTTCAAGATTGAAATTGTCCGCAGAATAGAGACGTGCAAAAGCATCTCCGAGTCCCTGCACTACTTCAAAATATACATGCAGGTGGACCCGGAGGGCCACAATAAGGCCTTTGCGACTTTGCTGACGATTGCAAAGGCGGAAATCGGGGCTAGAAAAATGCCAGCTGCAGGAGACTACCTTCTGCACTTAAGAGGCATCCGGGAGTATACGGAGGCGCAGACAGAAACTGTTATGTACATGATCAACTCGATGAAGGCTGTGGACCTAGTCACCTGGCAAACGAAGGAAATGCACGACTTTTTGGTGAATGCAGTGGGGGCATATGCTGGCACGCTTAAGAAGGAGATGCTGGCCTGCCTAAAGTCCGAGAGTCTTGCGCGCCCAGAGGATGCTGTGGGACTCCTTAAGAAGAAGCTCCATATTGTGCAGGACATAGCAAGCAGTATTGAGGCTGTGGTGGACAGGCTGGAGGCCGAGGGAATAGACGACGCAGCGTCCATGCATGAGGTTGGCGAGGTGTTTTCCGCTCTTACGCGAGTGCTGTGGAAGGGCATGGAGAAGGAAGACACGCAGGTTATTTCCCTTCTTGTCAGCAGCTCCGAGAAAATACAGGGGGTGCGCGAGCATCTTCCAGCGCAGATAAAGGAGTTTCTCGTGAAAATGCTCACGCGGTCTGAGGAGGGCGAGCCAGATCCGCTGGGATATCTTGTAAAGAATCTGTCCAAGGCAACGGTTGTTCTTTTCCCGAAGATAGACAGGCTTCTGTCGGAAAAGGAAAAGAAAGAGGTATTGCACAAGGCAGACGAGCTAAGGGAAAGGATAAAGTCTGTGGGGAAGATGCAGCTTGAGGCCAGGCTAAAGCAGGCATCCTGCGACGAGGAGTTTCTTATGGAGATTGTGCGGATGAAGGTGGTTTTCCAGGAGAACCACTTGAAGAACATCGCCACGGAGTTCCAGATCATTAGCGAGGCCATTGCAGAGATAGGCCTGAAAACAGACCTGTGCAGATACCTGCTGCGCAAGTACGTCCCAGAAAATACAATCAAGAAGATTATAGACCACTCGATCCTAAACCACTCCAGGTGCAGGAAGCAGTTTGCAATACTGAACGACTGGTCCGAGTAGCCTGCAAAGGCCTGCACTTTATGCGCCAACAAAATAACAAAATAAAGAAGATTTGTGTAGAGATGCTTGCAGCCGAAAAACTGCCCCGCCTGTGCGAAAAGAGACTTCCTGTGCTTTTCCCTTTATTATTATTCCCATGGGCTTCTTGTGCCCGGAAAAACCGTGTACTTGGTGGGTCTGTATTTTGTATCTTTTTTGTTTTGTCTCTTTTCCCCTTTCAAAAGACGCTTTCTTTGCTCGGGCAGTGCAGAGACAAGCTTTTCACGGGCTTTTCCCGCAGAGCTGCAGGGCCTGTGGAAAAACGTGCAGCATGTCTCAGGCAGCTCTGCGGAAAAAGTCTCCAGCACGGGCTTTTAAATAAAATTATTTTGCCCCGCATGAACAAAGAAAACGCCGAAATAAGAATAAAGTACCCGAGCGACTATGTGGTCCTGATGGAAAAGCATATCGAAGCCATGAAAGCAGAAAAGTACACGATTGACGCTCTCCACAGGACGTCCACACTTTTGTTCCACTTTCCAACAAACTATACCGTCTGGGTGGACAGGAGGAAGATTCTTCTGGGCCTTCCCGAAGCAGAGTATACCTTGCAGGACGAGCTCGCGTGGATAAAAGCCAAGGCCGCGGACAACCAGAAAAATTATCAAGTTTGGCATCATTTTAAATTTGTATTGAGAAAAACAAGCCATGAAATATCAACTGATTTGGAAATTCTCGAGCTGGTCAAAGAAGAACCCAAAAACATCCACTTTTGGGGGGTATTTTTGGCGTGCACCCAGGATGTGCCCAGCGCCCTAGAGTACACGAAATACTTCATTGAGGTGGACGTGCGAAACAACTCGCCCTTCTCGATACGGCACACGCTTATTATGCCCTTGCTTAAGGAGAGCGCAGATGCAGTTGAAAAGGAGAGGGCCTTCCTTCTAGGCCTCCCCATTCTAAAGCGAAATGATGCATACTGGAACTATGTGAATGCAATGGATAGAGAGTTTCCAGAGCATGCGATCCTGCAGGAGTGCGAGGCCCATCTGAAGTCAAAGGAGGCTACAGTGCGCTGTGGGGAATAGAGTAGAGCGCATATGTTGTTCTATGCAGGGCAGTGAAGCCCGCCAGCTATAAATAAAGATGCATAGTTTTCTTGGGCTAGCAGTGATTTCCAGATGGTTTGGCCCCATCGCACAAAAAATATCTTTCTTTTCGATCAGGACCAAAAGCACTATTTATTAGATCAAGATGCAAACATGCGAAGAAGATGGCCGGAGCATTCGATGCACAATTTGGCAAAAGTATCGCAAATGACTCCTTGTGCGATAGGAGGTACTGCATTTCAAGAATTCTATGCTGCTTCAAAAGGGCGGAGAGAATTCTCCCGTGCCCCGAGAGCGAAGCCCCCAAAAGCGTGGAGGTGCGCTTGGCCTTCTCTGACCTCCTTGCAGAACAAGTTGACTTTATACGCAGCACGGTAAACGGCATTTCAGAGACTCTGCGCCTTGACATACACGTGCTCCCAGATTTAGTGCAGCACTCTACGCACATTATTGCCAACACAGACCCAAAAGGCCTGAGCAAAAGAACGTACAAGTACCTCGCAGGGATTCTCCTCAAAAAGCCCATTATTTCCTTCATGTGGTACGTTGAGCTTTTTGAGGCATCCAGAGGAATATGCGCCCCAGACTACGACACACTCCATGCGGAAGTCCTTCTACAGCAGCTCACAGAAAACAACATAGTCCGAGGCGACTTCTCATACGGCTACTCTGACGCCCCTGCAATGGCACACAAAATCGTGCACGCTGAGCCTGTTCTGAAGGGAGTGGGCATACAGGATGTAAATAGCACACTGACGCAGGCAGAGTTAATGCTTGTTGAGCTCGCAGGAGGGACTGTATGCAAAGGCGATGGAGACACAAGTGCAAATACCGTTAGTATACTGGACATCGAGCAGTTCTACGCTATGATTTCGTCCGGGCATGTTCTCACCCTCCGCGAGAAAAAAATCTTTCGCTTTGAGCTCCCGCAATAGTTTTCCCGTGCCTCTAGTCTGACGAATAAAACTTGTTCAGAAATAGCCTTTTTTCATCGGGCAGTGTCAGACTGGTAGAGTCCAGGACTCTTGCTGCATTTTTTGCATCTTCTTCTGTGATGGACTCGTACGACACAATGTCTATGGAGGCCATGGCATCTTTTGAGTTTATTTCTGGCATAAAATATTTTGCGAGTTCCTCTATATATTCCCCATGGGATTTGCCTCTGCGCACGCCCGGGCACTCAGATGTGTTTATGAGTCGTCTCTGCAAGACAGGCCAAAAGTGCAGAAAAGGCATGTAGAGCTGCGTGCGTCTTTGCATATGCTCTTGCTGTGTTCTTGCACGATTTATTGGGGTTCTGCTGAAGCTGTGAAAATAGCCCGCTCCTGGGACATTGACGGGTTATTAGGGGCTGACGATGCCCACGCTGGGAGGGCGCAGTCTTTCCCGCAATGCTGTATATGAGCCCTGCAACGATGCGGACTTCGCACTATCCCAGGATCTTTTGATCTTTATGTGCTATATTGAACTTGCCCGAGTTTGCACAGAGGGCTGGCAAGCACTCAGAAGAGCACTTTCCTCTTTGCAGCTGAAGGTGCCAGGAAGAAATAAGTCTGGGCATTTGTGCACTTTGGCGGTGTGAACTCGATGTTAACAACCGTTGAAAGATGCGGCTGGATTGGTCTGCCCTCATAGGGGGCGTGCTCTAAAAAGAAAAGGCCAAGCAGCTCTCGCTTAACATAAAAATAAATCACTGCATGCAGGACACTATAAAATAACAGCAGCTATCTGGCTTGCAAAAACATAGAATATTCATGCGCTTTAATTATATGCACTATGTACGCATCTGGTCTTTTCTTGCTTATTTGGAGAGCTCAGTCTTTGAAATAGCCAGCGCGTTGTGCAACTTCGCAGAGAGAGCTTGTGCCATGAGCTCCTGGCCCTCGCCCTCACCCGAGGCCTCCTGCACTCTTCTGCCGTCTTCAGGCTTTCTGCAAAGGTATGTGCTCTCTTTCAGAATTTCCACCATCTCAGCCAGCCTGTCTATTTTTTTCTGTTTTATGTCTATCTGGGTGTTCTGAATGCCTATAGTTACATTGGCCTTCTTCAGGTCTTCCTCCAGCACAAAGACTTTTTTCCTTAGATCGGCATCTTCCAGGGCACTCGTGCCTTTTGCAGGGCTTGACAAAGGCGCTTGAACGGGCTCTTTTGCTTCCAGAGGCCTCCCCTTTGTGATTTTAAACAAAATAGAGCTCAGCCGGGCTACTGTCTTTTTGACCTTTTGGATCTCTTTGTAGACATCCTCCTGCCCTTCCTCGCAGCTGCCTTTTCTGTGGGCTTCTGCCAGATTGCACGCCTCTGCTTGGGTTTTGCTTTGCAGCTTTCTTCTTACCTCAGCACACCTTGCCGCTTCTGCACTGGCTGCATTTTCTGCTGCGGCAGGCGGTGCACCAGTATCCAGTTCGTTTGACACTACATATTCATCGCTAAAATCATTGAAAACGACACTGTTTTCAGGCCTCCTCACACTTTTCTCTCTGTCTTCCTTACTTACGGGCATATTTTATTTTTATCTGAAGATATTTATTTGATTTTTTTCGATTCTAGACCCATATTCCGCAATTTCCAATATACGTGCACACTCTGCATCTGGAGCACTGAAATTTAAAAAAGACAGAACGCCTAGAAGTGTGCAGGATTTATTGTGTGACAGCCGCCCGAAAACAGCTTTCTACGTGTGGAATGGCCTGAGTAAACGTGTTTGGGCGCTAGTTGCCTTTTTGCACTCTTTTTTTCTTTTTCGGCATTCCTTCATAGAACTCGCTCAGCGTCTTGCACTGCAAAATATGGCTTCCCAGCCTATACAGGCGCGTGTACTTCATTTCTGTTCTGCAGGCCAGCTGCTGCGCGTGTGTTTTGAGCATGCCCAGAATCTCCTCTTTAGAGATGTTTTTAAACATGAGCGGATCCACATGCTTTTTCAGCATGACGTTGTGGACTCCCATTCCGATGTACTTTGCGCTTATGTTCAGAAGCATGGAGGCCTGCTCCACAGGCACTGCTAGCTGTATGTTGGTCTTAGACATAGGCATGATAAAGCCCATATCCCACTTTTTTATGCCGGTCATTGCGCACCACTGCCTTCTCAGGATGCTTGGGGGCGTGTTCATTATGTATGCTGGCAGGCCCTTTATCCGGCAAAAGACAAATTCTGGCGTGGGCTCGCTGGGGGCTTTCCTGCTCTGCTCGCCTTCTTCAAGCTCACTCGCCGCGCCTGCAAACTCTTCTATTTCGTGCTGCGCTACCTCCACGCTGTCTTCTTCTTGCAGGGCCTTCTCGCCCGCGCCTGCCTGCTCCCTCTCTGAGCTCTGCGACTCTTCTTCTGTGCTGCTGCACTCGCTCTCTTCTTCTGCCTTCAAGCTGGTCAGGCCAATCTGCTTTATTTCCTCCTGCAGGGCGGATATTGTGGCGCGAAGCTCTTTAAACTTTCTTTGGTGCTCGTCCTCCATTTGCACAGCTTCGCCTGGCCTGGCGTGCATGGCCTTTGCAGCCTGGGTCAGCATGGCTATTTCTTCGCCCTTCTGCTCGGCCTCCTTTTTCAGCTGCCCAATGGCTCTGTCTTTCTCCTTGATGAGGGTTTCGGTTTTCATTGTTCTCTGGATGTACCGAGACTCTTTTTCTTGCGTAATTCGCGCAGCTTTTTCCATTGCATGCCGCGCCTCTTGCAGGCTCTTTTCCAGTGCCTCTATTCTGCACTGCATCTGCTCGGCCTCCTCCTGTGTTATTTTCACTCCTCCGCTTCTGGTCGCCTCCTCTCTTTTAATTTCTTCTTTTACCTTTTTCTCAACTGCGAGCACAAACCCTGAGAACAACGCTTTCATCTCCTTCTGATACTTTTGCTCTTCCACGAAAACATCCGACCCTTGCTCCTTTTCAGTGCTGCCTTCTGGGCGGATCCCCTCTTTCAGGGCCTCCCCCAGGTCTTCGCCCCCGCATGCTTTTTCTTTGGCGTCACTAGCAAGCTCCTCCGGGGCCTTCTGGCTCTGCCTGCTTTCCTGGGCATCTTCTGCTTGGGGCCTGCCCTGATCTGCTTTTTCTGCATCAAAAGTTGCATCCACTGCTGTTTTGTCTGCACGCGCACCACTCTCAGCTGTGCCCATGCTTTGGCTGTTGTCAGACAGGCTTGCAAATATGGCGGAAGTGTCTGGGCCTTTGCCTCTCTCTGCTTCTTGCTCCTTGCCCGCGCTGGCTTGGAATGCATTCTGTGCCTTGGTCTTCCAGGGCCCCTGGCCCTTACCTATTTTATTTGTCTGGGGGTTACTAAAATGAAATAGCATCTTCTGTCCAGGGGTCAATTCGCTTTGCGGAAGCACTTCAATGCTTTCTGAGATGTTCTTGCAAACTTCAGCCTCTATGCTCTCCAATGGTTTTTTCATTGCTTGTTTAAGGCTGAAATATTTTCGACTTAAATTTAATGTTAGCTAATAAACAAACACATTACCACACTGCAACATGGAACCAATATCCGCCCAAAAGAGTCCATGGAAGTAAATGCAGCCCGCAGAGAAAGTTCTAGATGCAGCTCTTTCCTGTGATGACAGCTTTTTAATGTTTAAATATTTGCCAGGTCTGGCCTTGCTTGTGTTTACTTTCGTAAATGTTATCTGTTTGGGCCGAGAACCTTCTTTTGGCATCCACCCTGCAGCCACATTGACTGTATGGATGCGCTCCTTGCAGTGCAATCTCTTCACTTGGCCTTCTTTTGCACCCCCACAGATGCAAATGCACGGCATGCTCAGAAAGGCCCTTTTGGCGTGCTCTGCGTGTGCACTGGCCTGCCTTGCATGAACATGCCGATTTTCAATAATTGGTTTTGCTGGTGCATTCCTGCATTCTGCTGGTGCTTTTCGGGCTTGGTTTGGCCTCCCTTTTCTGATGACCAATCAGATCAGCGGACTTGAATATTATACGGAAGATGCAACACGGTTTTATGGACAAACCCATGCAAGACGAGATAGACACGCAGAGCGAAGAAGAGTTCTCTTCCAAGATGCTGCTGACCCCTAAGCTAAGTGCGCCCTCAGATGAAGAGTATCTCAAGGCAATTGTTTTGTCTCGGCTCATAAAACATATTTTCTGCGCGTCTGGGCTAAGCAAAATAAAACTTCCCAAGGAGGCACAGAGCCCCTTTAAAGATCACATCCACGTTAAGAATGTGAAGATTATGACAAAGTCCAAGGAGCGAATAGGCGCGTGGGTTGTGTACAATAAAGAGAAAGACGTGGCGGGGTGGAGCCTGGTGCTGCATGGGAACTCCACAAACAGAAACACGTTTTCGCAGCTGTACGAGGTCGAAAACCTGCTGAACGAGGGCATTGGCGCTCTGATCATAGACTATCGAGGGTTTGGCGACTCTGAGGGGCTTCCCAGCCGAAGTGCTTTCATTGAGGACGTGTCCGCTGGCGTGAACTACTTCCGGAAGAAAAACATTATGTCCATATCGATAATCTCGTACTCTTTGGGAACTGCCATAGCGCTTGAGTACCTGATGAGGTACACGGGCAAAAAGATGCCTGTTAACATAGAAAAGCTTGTTCTTGTCAGCCCGTTCAGCTCCACCATCTCCTTGCTGAGGGAGTACAAGCTGTGGAATTTTATCGAGATGGTTCTCCCAAACAGCTCCACGTATGCCATGCACGGGCTGGGATACAACTCTCTCCAAAACATACAGAAAGTGCGCATGCGCATTCTTATCATACACGGAGCAGCAGACTGGCTCATACCGTGCACGCATGGGGAAATTCTGGCCAAAAACAGCAATGCCACTTTTCTGAAGCTGGAAAACGAGACCCACAGCACCGTGTTTAAAAATCCGCTGACGTGGAGGACAATAGCAAAATTTGTTGAAAACCCCCCCAGCAGCGAGACACCCTCTGCATAGGCAGAACGGCCACAGCAACTGATTTTCTAGCTGCAACTTTCCTATTAAGAAAAGACTGCATTTCCATTCTAAGCGCACATATTTTAGTTTATTGTGGTGTGCATAAACTCTCGCCCAGAGAAGAGGGTGCATATCCGCGCATTAAAGAGTATCCCAATAAATATGCTAGATATAAACAATGTACAGAGTGGGCTTTCTAGGCGCACGCCCTGAAGAGCCGTTTTTGCTCAAGACAGGTATATCCCCCAGAGACCGCCACTTTCCACAGCTTCTTCTCTGTGCGCGTCTATTTAAACTGGTGCATTACCTTCTGCTTGGGGTTAAACGTCTCAAACTCCAGGTTTTCCTTGTCGTGCTCTATGATTCCTATGCCGTTCAGTGTTCTATTTTTTCGCTTAAGAAGCGGCCACAGCTGCTTGTCCACATACGAGGCAATCAAATAGTATATGTTGACTGTCTCTGTCTGCCCTATTCGGTATATTCTGTCTTCAGCCTGGTGCAAGTCCCCGGGCGTCCAAGGAAGCTCTGCAAAAATCACAGTTGTTGCACAGACGAGAGTAAGGCCGGTTGAGCACGCCTTTAGGCTCAGTATTGCTAAGTCACACTTCGGGTTTTCTCGGAACTCGTCGCAGAGAAGCTCCCGTTTGGGCCGGGGCGTGGATCCGTCTATTTTTATGGCTCTGCTCTTAAACTCCTCGTATAGGGCGTCTAGCACGTCTCTGTGGTGTGCAAAGACAATTATTTTTTTGCATGTCTTGCTTCTCATCTGCTGGACATAGTTCAACACATCGCTGATTTTTTCTCGGGCTGCAGTGTTGTACTCTGTAAGCAGCTCGTTAGTCACCATTTTTGGGTTTGTCTGGATCTTTATCTGGACGTCTTTTTTCACAAGGTCGGTGTTGAATGTCACGAGAACCCTCCTTTTTATGCCCAGCTGCAGGCAGTCCTGCTTCACCCTCCGTATCAAAACGAGCGCGTTTACTGCAATTTTCAGCTCGTCCAGATTCTTGTTTCCCCGGTACTTTACCAGGTGCTTGAACCGTGGATTTACTGCCTGGTAGTGGGTTTCGCTTATCCGGCAGTATCTCTCGTGGTACTCTTTGTACGAGAAAAGAGACGGGCAGATGATGGCTATTTGCGTGTATAGCTCGTGCGCATTGGAGAGTGCGGGCGTGCCAGACAGAAGAATCACGTTCTCCAGGCGGGTGAGAAAAGGCACAAGCACCTGTGCTCTCTTGCTTTCGTGGTTTTTCAGCGACTGCGACTCGTCGGCAATTCCCATGAAAAAGTCCTCTGCGTGCAGCTGCGCCAGGTGGGAGCTTGCCCCGTTGTAGCTGGCAATAAGCGCAACCACTTCGTGAGCCCCCACATCCCCCACATTCCGCCACTCCTTTATGTCGTAGCACCTTTTTGTTATGTACTTCCCCACCTCTTTTGCCCACATGGCAGTGTTGGATGCCGGAGCCACAATCAGCATGCACCTTTTTGTGGTGTTTGGGTTTGCCTCCAGGTACTTCTTGGCAATTGCAATTGCCTGCAGGGTTTTGCCCAGCCCCATTTCGTCTGCTATCAGAAGCCTGTAATTTCGCTTGCATGCAACTGCCACGCCTTCTATTTGGTGCGGCTTCAGATGGATGCTTCCGCCTCCATCAATATGCTCCAGCACGGACAGGGTGCTTTCTGCTTTGGGCTTGGCGGCTGCTCTACTGTACTTAGCCGCCAGCGCCCTCAGCAGGCACAGAGGCGTTCCCTCTGCCTTCTTTTGAATGAAGGAGCAGCACTTTTCAAGCTCTGGGTACGACCAAACATGGAATATCCACGCATTCTCTGCCAGAATGTATTTAGATCCGATCTTGTCAAACAGATGCGAAGATATTTCCTTCGTGCTAGGCGATATTTTTGCCTGCTGCTCGTTTATAAGCGTTATTGTAAAGCTGTTTGGAATGGGAGGTTTTGCCCCCGTTTGCGGTTTTGTGTTTTGCAGAAGACTCATTGCCTGGTTTTCAGAGTTCATAAAAATAAAAATGCGCAGAGACTTATGCGCTTTAATATAGCGCCCATTCGCTGACATGGGCTCATGCACGCATTTTCTCTTTGGCTTTCCTTGGCTCGGAGAAGGCGGGGATCTTCTGCGCAGCCTCCTGTTGCACCGCAAGCCTTGAAATTCGCTGGAAAGCATCTCTAGAGCTTGTCTTTCTTGCACATTTAAATGCCAGCCTGTGTGGAGCTTCCCCTGTGCTATACCCCTTCTTTCTGTGCGACCAGTTGGGTCTTGTGCGATTCTGGTGTTAGTGCTCAGTTTAGTCTGTCTTTTCGCATTTGGCTGTATAGAAAAAATGCATTCAGAATTTCTGTAAAATCTCGCATAGAAAAGTACACTTTTTATTTTTGGGCGATAAAAACACAGTTTACGGCGCTGCAGGCCGCAGGCAGGCCTATACGTCGTTGCACAGGACTATTTCTGCGCCGTGCGAAAGTATTTTGGACTTGATTTTTGCGGGAAGCCTCCACAGCCCACAGGCCATCTCTTTCCCCGAAAGAACGGCTTTTTGTGAAAGTATGGGAAGCATTACAAAGAGCACTAGCATAGCCGCTCTCAGAGGAGCACTGAGCGCGCGCTCCAAGGACGAAAAAGTGCACACTCCCGCAAAAATCAGCAGAAACACGCAGTTTTCAAGCAGTGCTAGAAGGTGGAAGGGCCACTCCCCAACGATGTACCCTAGCCCTACAAAGTAGGAGAGCGCCCAGACAGACTTGTACGTGTTTTTTTGGGTGAACAGGCTGGCGTATCCGAAGGCTGCTGCAAGGTCAAACACGGCCTCCTTGGCCACGACGTGCCACAGCATGGCCACCGCCGGAACCATCGTCAAAACAGCACATCTTTGCACAGACTGGAGTATGCTCTTGTAAAAAAGGAATCTCCGGCCTCTGTAGAAAAAGCACAGGAGGCTGCACACCACGCCAAAAACCAGCCCAGCGCCTTTTCCGATCTGCAGGGTATTTTGCCAGGCATGCGGCTGGGCAACCGGAAACTCTCTTCGCATGTTTTCAATTGCAACAAAAAAGCTGTGCAGCGACAGAAGTGTTCCCAGAAGGAAAGCGTTGAACAGAGAGAACACAAACAAAACATACAGGACCACTCTAAGAAGCGCGCCAGGCGGAGCATAGAACACTGAGTAGAAAGGGTTGAACATAAGCTCAGCCCGAGAGGCTGCAGCCAGGTTGTTTATCCACCCAATTTCGTTCAGCCCAGACTCCAGGAACCTGTCCATGCACACTCCCTTCTTCTGGCCGTGCTCGTCAAAGTAGAGGTCTTTTTCCCCCTTTGTGACCAGAAGCTTCTTTCGCACACACACCTCGTCGTTGCAATATGGAACTTCGTTGTTGCACGGCAGGTACCGAAGATACCGCATGTCCATGCCTGCTTTCGGCAGGGGCCCATCAAACAAAAGAGACTCTATCTGCAGATACTGCACAGCACGCGCTGAGCAGCGTGTAAATACAAAGGCCATCTGCTGAAAGCACCGCTGGGCTATTCTTCCATGCGCAAACAGATCTACTATTGGGACGTAGTAGTAGAACCACGGAAGAGCCTCCACCCACGTCATCCGATAAGGCCTCAAGGAAATCAGATACCCGCGCCGAATCAGAAAGCACAAAGCCTCCACAGGAACACATAGCATAAACCCCACACACATCATTAATACAATCAGTGCAATGTATCCCTGTATATTTATGATCATGCTGTCCTTGACCAGCCTGTTCATCGACATGTTTAAAGGGCACAGCCACGGCAGAAACCCAGGGCGAATTGCCCCAGGGAATCGCATGCAGGCTTTCTCAAATACAAAAATCGACAGGTTCCCAAGCAAAATGAATATTCCGCTGGAAAGGCGCGGGTGCTTCTCAACCAGCGCGCACAAAGCACTTTCTACGGGCACGCCAAGCTCTATCCCCAGAACTTTCAGCACCCGATGCGCCATGAAAAAGCTGCCTATTTCCCGAATAGCGCGAAAAACTGGCTGCACAAAGAACCCCCCAACGATGTTTACAATGCAGTACGGAAGCATCCCAAACCTCAGCAAGAAAATGTACAAAATCCTAATAAGCACGAATGCAGTGTTTATGCCCCATTTGGGCCTTTCCATCCATGCAGTCACATGCTTTGCAAAAAGCAAAAGAAAGTACAGGCAAAGCAAAAGTCCGCCTGCAGGAGCCAAGACACGCCCAAAGACAAAGTCAGGCCCAACCGCGTCGAAAGGGTTAGCAAAATAAGAGAACACGCACGCAGCCCCCAGGAAAAAGAAAAACACCGCAAAGTCTCTGAAACAGGTTTTTTGCTCCAAAAGCCCCTCGCTGTCGTCCTCAAAGACAATTATGTCCAGAATCTTCCTGATTTCCTCGTCTTCTTTGTTTCTCTTCTGGTCTTTGTCCAAAGTGCACTTTCTTTTGTATATGTCTGCAAGCGGCTTTTTTCCCTCATTGAACATGTTTAGCTTGGTCAGCGTGTCCAGAACAGTGTACGTGTTCTGCTTCTTCTGCTGGTCCATGCTCTTGCGCGCCGAAAATGTCAGCAAAGGGAGGCACAGAAAGACCTCAAGGAGAGACGCGGCCTTACGCAGGGAGAAAAGCCCAAGGCCCAGGCTCCCGAAAAGCCCCAGCCCCAATAGGTGGGACAGCTCAAAGAGCGCATCCTTTGCCCTCTTCAGGCGGGCACATACAAGGTCCTTTGCATACGCCCTGCACAGAAAAAGAAAGCCCGGCGTGAACCCATAGTTTTTTGTGTAGTCTCGCCGGATCCGCATCTTGTGCCCGCAAAACAAGCATGTCTGACTCTGGGCTTTTTTTATCCACTCAATAATGCATGCAGGGTGCATGTGCTTTAAGTTTCCTATGCACTTGCACGGTGAAATCAGCTTGTTCTCTTCAGAGTCCGCCTCCGAGCATATCCTGCAACTGTGCGTTTTTTCGCTGGAATTGCCAATATTTGTTTTATCGCTTTGCATGGTTCTTATCTGTACAAAAAATAAAATAATATTTACGATCGTCCTAAAATCTTTCTGATCTTTCTTGCTGTGCAAGCATAGTGCTTTCCCACAGGCCGCATATTTTTTCTTCTTGTGAAAGGCCTCCATATTTAACGCCTGCGAGCCAGAGTGCCTGGGCCTTTGCAGTCCTGCATATGCTGAAAAGCCGAGGCGACAGGTCCTTGGGCCAGCCTTCTTGGCCGAGTAAATTCGAGAGTCTTCCAGAACGGGCACTTTCCAGGCATTTTCTCGGGCTGGAAGGTGCAGGAGCATATGCCTGTGTGAAAGCAGGCCCTGCACGATCTGCAGGAAAAGTGCACTTTTTGGGCTCTTCCAGCGCAAGAGCACGCTTTACAGGCTTTATTGCGCGGACGACGAAAAAAATATTTTAATGGAAGCGCGCACGACAAGCTGGAAAATCCACAATATACCAAAACAGATCAAGCGCAACGTTTTATTAGGCCTGATAAAGGGGCAGCTAAACCACGAGAATTTTTCGCTCTCTTTCAAGGACAACCGGCGAGTAGCCACTCTGATAACACAGGAGGACACGCTCCCAGAGATAATGCACAAAGGCCGGGCACTTGACATCAGGAGAATGAACGTGGAGGTGCGTGATGTGAAGGACATAGTTACGCCGTTGAACAAAATGTCGTATGCTTCTCAGCTGGAAAAGAAGGCTTCTGACGTGAAGGAGATGTTTTCGCATTTGGGGTGTGCCGAGGTTGAGTCTGTGGCTTCGCCTTTGGAAGTCGGGTACAGGAACAAGTGCGAGTTCACATTCGGGTTCTCAAGCGAGAATGTGCCGACGCTGGGGTTTAGGCCAGCGAAGTTTACGTCTGCGCCGAACCTTGTAGCAGACCCAAAGGAGTGCACCTTCAACACGCCAGAGGAGATGCTGTCTCTTGTTCAGGCCGTGAACAGCTACCTGCCAGAAAAGGCCGGCCTGGTCTATAACCGGATAACAAATACAGGATTTCTGCGGCTGCTGTGCCTCAGGAGGCTGGGGGAGCATCTCGTGTGCATTCTCCAGGCGAACTGCGAGTCCTTTGAGTGTGCGCTAGACAACAAGATGGTTTGCGACTTTATAGACACTCTGCCGGGCGATGTTTTTCTGTCGTGCTCGACTGGAATATTCGACGGGCTTCTAAGAGACTCTGAGCTGAGGCAGGTGAAGGGAGAGAAAAGGCAGTACAAGGAAGTTCTCAACGGGTGCACGTTCGAGGTTTTTCCGCTGGGGTTCTTCCAGGTGAACAAAGGCGTGGCCCAGATTTTGGTGCAAACTCTCCAAAAAAGCATAGAGACAGACACGGTTTTGGACATTTGCTGCGGGTCTGGGAGTCTTGGAATATGCGTGGCAAAGGGCACGCAGAAGAAGGTGGTGGGCTTAGAGCTGTCCCAGGAGTCGGTCAACGACGCAAAGGCAAACGCCGAGCTGAACGGCGTGGATGCAAAGTATTTCTGCGGGTCTGTTGAGAAGACTCTTCCCTGCGTTCTGGAAAAGACAAAGGAGCCGGCGTCTGCCTTGATTGACCCGCCGCGCGCAGGAATATCCGACAAGCTGGCCCGAGGAATCGCCCAGCACAGCAACATATCGGAAATATTCTACATCAGCTGCTCCTACTCATCGGTCAAGAGCAACATTGAGGCCATCTCGAAGACGTATGCTCTGAAGAAGATATACGTCCTCGACATGTTCCCGTTCACGAAAGACGTAGAGTGCATCTTCCACTTTGTAAGAAAGCCAGAGACAGCGCCTGCTGCATAGACACTGGAAGTAGAGCAAACCTAAGCGCAGCTAGAGTTCAGCCCATCCTGCGCGCAGCTTATTATTTCCATCGGAGAGGCGATATTTATTCGTTGGTGTTCTCGCTGAAAATCACGCATCTGTGTGGGCAGAAGAGCAGCCAATCCCTTTCCAAAGCCCCTCGCCTCTGCGCAACGGAAACTTTGAAAATGCGGTCCTCTCGCACGAGAAAAGGCACCATCGGGCAAAGCAAAGCCACCGCAGGAGAAAGCAGGATTGCTCCTACAAGATGGCCCGGCATTGGTCAGTCCGCCCGTGCAAGAACCAGTCTGCATCTCAAGGGGACTCCATGCATGCACTTTCTGCAGGGAGGCTTCCAAATAAAACATATGGTGCGTATAGCTAAGAACTAGTGCTTAGAGATTTATTTTTTCTTGCGGCTTGGGCTTGGGCTCAGAGACTGCGCGCAAAATGGCATAAACAAATAGCAGTAGGCAATTCAGTGCTTTTCGCTGCTACTAGACAGCACCGCATAAGCCCAAGAAGGGCGGCTTCCTCTCTTCTATTAGTATGTGTGCGTGTCTTGCATCTGCAAAATGCGCACGCGCCTCTGCAGCACAAGCTCGTGAAAGATCCAGGTGTGCGCTGCACAGAAAAATCGCACAGTAGATGCGCGTGCTTCTTTCAACGGGCGAGAAGTCTTAGTTTATTTCACCGCTGTTTGGCTTGCTTGGCCTATGCGCCCTTGTGAAGCGGGTTCATGCACGCAAATAACTTTCTGAAAAAACTCACTTTCTTCCTAGGCTGCTGAGCTCCCTCGGACTTGACCCAAAGGCCTCCCTTCACAGGAACGTACATAAAGTCCTCCTTCAAGATCTCTCTCTTTGGGACCCACTGCTGCTTGGCTGCGCTCTCCTGCCGAGATATCTCCATCTCCATTTTGATAATGTTCTTCTGCACCAAAGACAATCCCTCCATGTACTCAGAGGTGACATATATTGGGTCCTTTCTGAGGCTTACCACCGACACGGAAGAACTCTGGGCCTCTATTCTATTTACTTCTGGCTCTGCCTTCTCGACGGTCTGCACATGCTCGGACTCTACGCAGTCGTCGTGTATCGTGTAGCATGCATCCTCGTATTCCTCGTCTATGTCTGCGTGTGCTGCTTCGCAGTCGTCCTCTTTTATAAGATTGACTTCGAAGGTGCCGCTTTCTACATATTTGATATTTTCCAAAGACTCTGCAGAGATCTCTGCAGGCGCCTCGTCTTTCTGCTCTTCATTTGCAAGCGGCGCCTCGTCTGTGCTGTTGGCCTCTTTTTCCTCGGGCTTATTCTCTTCAGAAAGCAGCAGGATGGGCTCGGCCACTTCTTCCTTGATTATCATCTCTTCTTTCTGCATCATATGTACCCCTTGTATGCAAACATTTATAGTTTCCAAATAATTTACTCCGTCTTAAACCACTCAATTATTTCTGCTCCTAGGCCAGGAGGTCGTTACGCCAATCATTAAAAAAATGCTTGCCAATAAAAAATTTGAGGCCATATGAAGTTTAAGCTTATAGAAGACGAAGTCGCCCCAAGCCACGCTGAAGCGGCAGGATCTGCACACAGCGAGGACGAAATAGACTCGACCGAATTTTTCGGGCTGGATGCAAAGACTGACTTTTCATCATCTGAGGAAGAGGATGCGTGGGAGGACTCAAATGAAAATGCGGAGAGCGAGGTCCATTGGACGGTTGAGAAGATAGAGAAAAGGGCAGCAACTGTGCGAAAGCCGTCTGCACTCTCCAAGAATGTGCTAAAGTACGCCGTATCCCCTGTCCTGACGATCAAGAAACCAATAGAGAAAGTGCACGTGACGGAGGAAGAGATATACATACTGGACAGAACAGGGCATATGCATCTATATGGGGGCGCCGGAGAAGAGGAGGGCGAGAAAAAGCTTCGAAAAGTGGAAATATCCCGTGGGAAAAAAGAAAAACATTTTAAAGACTTCATTCTTCTGAAAGGGCACACTGTCGTGGCGCTTACAAAGGCCTTCCACTCGTTCAGCATTATAAATATGGAGAGGGGCACTGTGCAGGAGGTGAACTTGTACCAGTACAAGGACAGGGCGTATACTAGGCTAAGAAACGTGGAGGGCGGATTTGCTCTGCTGGCCTGCCAGTCCATGCTTGTGTACAACTGCAACGCACTTCTTGTGGACAGGATCGAGTTTTCGGAGAACATTGTGGACATCGCCGAGGAAGAGGACTCTTTCCTGGTTCTTCTGGAGAGTGCACTTGTGCGGTACTGCAAGAGAATGAAGGCAATCACCGCGCGGTCGGAGGTGCTGATTTCTCCGGCGGTGCTGTGCGTGTTCCGAGAGTGTGCAGCCGTGGGCGGAAAAGGAGGCGTCACAATATTTAGCAAGAGCTCACTGGAGGCTGAAAAGGAACTGGCCAATCTGGACAGCGTCACAGGGATAGAGTACATGGAGGACATGGACATTTTGGTCTTTGGCGACAAGGAAAGGCCGAACGGCATCAGGATGTTCAACGTGAAGGACCAGAAAATGATCACCACATTCCCCCCGGGAAAGGGCCTGGGCTATGTCAGAGGCTTTGCTGCTGCCGGGAAGTCTTTGTACTTCGGGGTCGACTCGAGAATGCACGTTCTGAGGGTTTCAGAGTAGAGAGTAGCCCGAGCTCTGCGAGCAGAGGCAGGCGGCCGCTGGCAGCGTAGAAGCGGATAGAGGCAGGCGGAGCGCCTTTCCAGGCACGTATTATATAACAGGCCGAGCAAGCAGGCCTGCACAGGGAGAGCTGGCTTTCCCAGTGCCCGAAAGCGTCTAATAATAAATCACTCACTTGATTTTGTGTAAAGCAGAGAAGATGCGGCAGCGCCAAAGCAAAAGAGGCTGGCCGATGCACGCCTGCAAAAACTGACAAACACGCTTTATTTTCAGTGCAAAGCCACTTTCAGGAGACTGTATATCGCAGGCATCCATATTTCAATCTCCGTGCCCTGCGGCCTTGACGCTGCAATAAGGTCGCCCTCCCTTCGGATCTCGTTGAGCTGGTCAGGCCCCACATGCGGCACCTGTCCGCCGTCAATCCCCAGGCCCTTCACCTTCTGCACAAAAGTGCCCATTCTAGAAACAAACTCCGGCGCCCACTTTCTCTCTGAGAGGTGCTTTCTCAGCACGACCAGCTTTGGGTCGATGGACTTCAGAAGCCACCCCTTCAGCGCGCCCTTCTTATTATTGATTATATCCAGCAGCGTGGAGACCACCGAAGACATATCCGCATAGACCTTCGCCATTTCCGGCGTGACCGTCACCTCCTGCGCCATCTGCGGGGCATGCATTCCTCCGCCCATGTGCCCGCTGTGCTCGTTCATGCGCATTCCCGGATTCCCCGAGAAAGGAGTTCCCATCCTGGGGGCTCCCATCGGGCCTGGGAAAGGGGTGCTGTTCTGCATGCTTGGGCCAGCCCGCATTCCCCCCAAAGGCGTTCCTGCTGCCGTGCTTGCACCTGCTCCCAAGCCAGAAAGCGGCATTCCGCCAGGCCTAAACACGCTGGCTCCTGCACTGCCCTGGCTTGAGATGTGAGAAATTCCGGGGGTGCTCATCCCAGAGGGTGCTCCCGACTGCATGCTTGCCATCGTGGGGGGCCTTGCTGCTGGCATTCCCATCGGAATCTGTGGCATTTGCAGCGGTTTTTCGCTTCTTGGCGCCCCGGGGAAGGGCGTGGACATTGTACTCTGCCCTGCCGACGAGCTAAGCCCGGAGGGGAACGGGGAAGGATTTCCCAAACTCGGGCCTGTCCCTGGCATTTCCATTCTCTGGGCAAACGGCGCCTGGCCTCCTGAAGGGGGCACGTACATGCCCCTACCTGCATCTGCAGCCTGTGCGGGCATTCTGCTGAAAGGCGTTCCCATCTGAGGATTTGCATACGAAATTTTTGGCCCCGCTCTTCCCCCAATGCTCGGCGTGGCCATTGTTGAGACGGCGTTTGGGGTTGCAGCTGCGCCAGGATGCCCCATCGGGGGCCTTGCCGGATTGCCCAGCATCGATGCATTTTGCCTGTACGAAGACGGCTGCGCCATTCCCACCCCAGCAAGCGGGTTGAGCGAAGCACTTACTGCAGCCGGATTGAAGGCCATTCCCGCTCCAGGGCCCTTCACAGGCGCACTCTTTTCTATGCCTGCTCCTGGCATGCCCATTCCTCCGCGGGGGAATGCACTTTGCGGCATTAGCGGCCTTTCGCTGCTTCCGCTAAGAGGCTGGCCCTGTGTCCTTCCGTGGATGTTCATTCTGTTCATGCTCTGGTGGGTGCTTGTTGAGCTGGGGAGGTTCAACTCCGCCTCTACCTCGCTGGCGGACTTCTGGTCGAGCGACTTCACAAACGCAAGGACTCTCTTCTTCTCGCCCTTCCGCATGAGTATCTTCAAGTACTCGATTGTGTGCACGTCTATGGAAATAGTTTTTTTCATGAGGAGAGTTGCTCTTTCCAGGATGGAGAAGACCTTCTTGAATCTGTCCATAAACTCAACTGAGCTGTAAATGGTCTTGGGGAGCTCAGTTTGCTTCTCCTCGATTTCCTGGTACTTCTGCACGTCCTTCGCAATCAAGTAGCAGATCTTGGCGGACTCTGGGTTTGTTTTCTCGAGGCACTCTGCCACCGACCGCACCTTGGGGATGAACTCCTCGTCTGTGCAGTGGCTTCCCAGTATCTTTACAATCACCTTCCAGTCTACGTTGTTCTTGATGAGTCCACTGTAGTCTCCCGACAGAATCGAGAGCACCAGCAGGAAGCTTGACGTTGCCCCGGGGGCCTTGAGTATCCGCTCCTTCTCCCGCTTGAGAACGCCCTCTCCGTCGCACATGGCTATAAGCGCTGCCAAGTGGGCGTTCTCCTTCAGCGCGAGAGAAAACGCAGACGAAAAGTCTCCCCGGATGAGCATCTCTGTGATTGCGTCCTTCTCGTCTATCTGGATATCTGCAGGCTCCTCCTCGCCCTCTGGGCTTTCCAGGATGGGGCTCTTCTCGTCTGCAGACTTCAGAATTTTGAGGATTTCCCGCCTGGGGTGCTCCTTCTCGTACGCATCGAGCACTTTCCACTCGTACAGCGTTTTGTCCGCGTCCTCTGTCCACTTTCTCAGCCTTGGCCCCTTTTCCTCGGAAACCAGCAGCCCACTGCTTGTAAAGCACAGGCCTGGGCCCTGCTTCTGCCACTCTGGGAGCTTTCCCAAAAAAGGCGAGCGTGCATTCAGCGACGTAAGCGTGTCAACAACGACGTGTCCATTGTACGAGGAGTATGCAATCAAGTCGGGGTTGTCCGGGCTAAACGCAAAGTCAAAGACAGAATCCTCCACAACCACGCCTCTTTTCTTGTACGTGTTCGCATCCCATGCAATGACAGAGTTGTCTCTTCCGCACGTGATGATGAGCGAAGGGTCCTGCCTCGACCACTTGCAGTTCAGAACTCCCTCCGTGTGCCCCTCCAGCCTGGGGGTTCCCCTCGAAATGCGCAGGTCGTACAGCATCACCGAGCTCTGAAGGCTCGAAGAGACTGCGAGCTGTGCGCTGTTTGAGTTTGGGTCCCACTCCAGAGACGTAATTTCCGACTTTGAGAAGTACGGGTCGCCAATTCTTGTGACTTCGCTCTTCCCTCGCAAGTCCAGAATGCTCACCATTCCGTCTGTGGTCCCGACTGCAAGTATCTGCGTCATGTTCTGGTTCCACTGCAGGCAGCTAATGCCCTCAAACTTCGTGTTTACGCCCGGAGAAAGCGGCTTGTCCAGTGTCCTGAGGTTCCACATCATGATTTTCCCGGAGTAGGATCCTGTTGTCAGCACAGGCATTGCACCTGCAAAGTCTATTCCCAGTATGTCGTCGTCTGTTTTCACATGGTTCTTGAAAATGAGCTCGATTGGGTCCTGCCTCTCCTCGTCCAGCATGCCTGTTGCGTCCCACAGGGTGACATTTCCTGCGTCAAGCCCTCCTGCCAAAAACATCTTGTTCCCGTACATGCCCCACTTCAGCCTGTTAAATCTGGTTGGAACCACCTTGCTGAACACAACCTCGTCGGTATCTAGGCTTCGCACCTGCAAGAGTGAATTTGACGAGAAATCGCTGTTCAATATTTTGGCTTTTGTTCCCAGAGCCATTAGCGACCCCATTGGACTGAATGATACTAAACTAGTTGTCTCTATCTTCATGTATAAACAAAAATGAATGAAAATTAAAATATTATATAAGAAACAAGCCAAGCATAAATTGAATTATTTTCATTTTCAGCAAAAATGCTGGATATACAAAAGGACCAGCTTCTTAGCGATTTGTTTTTTTCATTAGTGGGTCTTGAATGTTCGAGTGTTCGGGTCAGAAAAGGCCAGGCCATAAATGTGCAATTTAATTCGCTCATTCCAAAAGACGACCTGCAGATAGTCAGCGCCCTGCTCAGCATAATCGTTGGGGTGCGGCAGTGCAGATACAAGATAGACGAAGCGTACTTTTCCGGTGGGACAATTCGAAAGTGCCTTTTCAAGGGCATCGAGGAGGAGCTGGACGCCTTCGCCAGGAAGGTCGACGAGGTCCGAAGGAGTGCCCAGGGCATAGACCTGAGGTCTCTGCCGTTTATATTCCAGGGGGAGATAGAGCTCTTTTCTGGGATGATAAATATGCTCCGGGAGACAGAGTCTGTCAATGAGCTCTTTCTGCTGGACGTGGTTTTGCGCAGCCGGATAGTTTGTCTGCCTGCAGTGCTGCATTTGGTGCCCCCAATGAACAGGGTCTTGACTTGCCTCGTAGAGGGGAGAAAGACCGACGGGTACTTTGAGGAAAGGCACAGCTACGACTACAGCGAGTGCTTTTGGAGCAACCACTACAGGGTAAAGGAAGCACCGCCGTGCCTCGCCCAAGCAATAGGCACGCTCATGGACCTGGGGAAGATATCAAAAATTCGGAGGGCTGTTAACGAGGCCCGCATCGAGTACTCGGGAAGCGTGCTGTCCGTGCGAAATGGGCAAGCTGTTGTTTGCGAGGCTGAAATAGGCGCGTATGCAAGCGCACTTTCTGACTGCCCAGCTGTGAGGGCTGCGTGGACGGAGGGCGTCTCCGAGCTCTTTGCAAAAATCGGGCTCGATGTAAGCAAATACTCCGAGATGTTCAAAGAGCTTGGGGAAAAAATGTTTTGCGTGCCCTCTAGAAAAGACATGTCTTTTGTGAATTACATCATGCGGAAGGGAAGCCCAGGATACACTCCATTCGAGGCGCACGTTGACTCTCCACGCCTTTCCTTCCTTGAGGACTCTTCTTTCCTCCTGGAGAAGGTTGAGGGCGTGCGGGCATCGCCCGTCTCTTTTGTGTACAACGAAGTCTCCCTCCCGAAAGCCCTCTTGGGGATATACGACACAAGAACGGGGAAGTGCGTGGCTGGGCTCTCCCTTCTGCAGGGACTCGACATTTCCTTCGCGCTGAAGGAGCCTGTGTCCATGTTCTTCTCTGCGAAGTCGGTTTCCGAGCTGAAAATCCTCTTCCGGCTCATATACTCGCTGTACGCGGTTGAGCACTTTTCGTGCGCGCAGTACAGCCACTGGAGGATAAAGCACATTTTGCTGAGCTTTGTGACGGGGATAAGGATGTGCATTGCCGAGAAAATAGACGCCGAGTTTCAACGCGTGGTGGGCGAGAAAAACATCGCAGAGTACACGCCCGCGCTGGAGAGCGCCCTTTACAGCATAACAAAGGCCTCCCTCCTCACAAGCCCGTTTCTCATGCAGTTTTACAGCCGGGTTTTTTCCATCGCGTTCATGTACATTGAAATGACAAACCGAGAGCAGCTCACGCGGGAGGAAACGGACGAGATCGTGGCGTCGCTTAAAAAGTGCTTTAGGGCGGCACTCCCGTACGTAAAGTCCCCGATTCTTCTGGCTTTGTTTGAGTCTTTGGCATGAGCGTGCAGGCCAGCGCATTATTAAGGGCGCCTGGCTTGGGATATAATGTTTTCGCGTGAAAAGTTTTAATGAAAATTCTCGCTCTCTACGCCAAGGCCAAACAGATTTTCCCGTTTTTGGAAACAAGTGCGCCTCTTGTGAAGTTTCTTCCGAGGCGCGCAGGCATTGACGGGGCAGAGTACAGGTACGAGTCTGCAGTGAAAATCTGCAAAACCAAAAGGATAGCAGAAGACCCTGCTGAGGAAGACATTAAAAAAAAAGTGAAAAAGACAAAAAAGTTCGCATAGTGCATGGAGAGCGTAATTCTAGCATACAACAAATTGTCGGTTAGCACCATAGCTAGCGTGTTTAAGGAAATAGAGGCCTCCTACCAAAAGAACAGCAAGGAGACGGGAAACATCATAGTCAAAATTTTGCTGGAGACGGACATAGAGAGCAACTTGCTGGCCGTGTCCTCTCTTCTCAAGCTCATATACTCGGCGCTGGACAGGTCGATTGTTGAGGAGGTTGTTTCAAGCATCGAGAATCTGAGCCTGTGCTGCTACATATTCAACTACGGGCTGGTGGACGACACGTTCATAAACTCGAAGGTCTCGGCGCTTATTGAAAAGCGGGATGTTCTGTCCATCCTGAGAATCCTGCAGATGTCGAGCACGCTTCTAGACCACAGCACGCTTTCTCTGATCGAGTCCTGCGTGGAGGAGGACGGAAGCTTCCTTGTCCGCTTTATAAAGGAGTCCGTTGGCATGATCAAGAAGGGGCACAGCCCGTATAGAAGCTACATCCAGGAAGAAATGAACAGCGTGGCAGGCACGGTTTCTGGGATCCTGAAGAAATACGCGCACACAAACACAGAGGTCATCACAGCAGCAACAGACTCGGACGAGCTGATTGCAGTCAAGTTCGGCATGAACACGTCGCTTAAGAAGAAAATATTCTCGATAGTCACAGAGAGCCCGGACTATGCTGAGGCGCAGAGGGCGCTTTATAAGCAGGTGATCAGAAAAGTCTGGCACATAGAGGAAATAGTGAAGGTGTGCATCCGCCTGTGCATTTCTGAAAGTGCGTTCAACACGTACTACCCGACCTTGGTCATCTCGATATACAACACCTCCTCGAACAACCACAAGAGCACCGTCATAAAGTACATATACCAAACAGTGGACAGCAAGGTAGAAACCCTTTCCAGGCTGTCCGTTAAGGAAATATACAACTTGGGGATGCTTTTGGGGCACTTCTACGTGAACGGAATCAACTCGCTCAAGCCCGTGGTGGGCGGGTGCTTTGCCCTGAAGAAGCACGCAGTGCTGGCCAAGGTCGTCTTTAAAAGCATCTTGGTGGCGCATTTAGACAAGAAAATAACGAAGTTCCGAAAGGTAAAGGAAAACGCAGATTTTCGCAGATTTTTCAACAGCAGCCTTATAGACGGGTCTTTCCTAACAGAAGAAAACAGGCCGAGCTTGCATTTTCTGTACGGCGAAATGTTTATACAAAATTAAAAAAATAAAAGAGTAGTAAGGAAAGCCAATGAGAGGAGACTGTTTCTACTTTATGACCTCCACCTGTGCCCGGGGAGATACTTGCTCGTACAGGCACAGTGCGAACGCCAAAAAAAGCTCTGTTGTTTGCGAAAACTGGAGAAACGGGCTTGAGTGCGACGACCAGTGCCCGTACAGACACTCAGACTACCAGCCGAAAGAGAAGCCGCAGACTGAGTGCTACTGGGAGAAGAATGGAGGGTGCAGGCGGCCAGAGTGCTCGTACGTTCACAAAAAAGCCCCGATTAAGCAGGAGTATTGTCTTTTAGACTTGCAGAAGCTGAACTACGATCTGGAGCGCCTTGAAATTGCAGATTTCAATGGGGAGGGCCCTGCCGTCGTGAAGACCGTTCCGGAGCTGGCTAAGGAGCTGCACGAAATTGAGACCATTTTCCACATTTAAATAAAGGAAATAGCTGTTGCACGATTTTTCCACGCTTTCTGCGCGCATTTTCTCTGGGCTGCAGCAGTGCGTTGCTGCTGCTTTGTTTCTGCATGCGTGGAGGCGCAGCGGCCAGAAAACAAACGCAGTGCCTCTTCTTCGATGGCCTATGTGTTTGTGGAAGGAGCTTGTTTGCCACGGCGAGCAGCACCCATAAAACCACAGTGGGCGGAGAGTGTGCACCCTTCTGTCTCTGGCATACAGCCTGCAAACTGTCTAGGGCTTCCTGTTCTGGGTTGTGCGTGTTTTTGTTGGATTTGCATTATTCAATGGTGGGCTCCAAATAAAAATGTCTATTTTTCTTCAATATGGACGTGTTTGTTTTTAGGAGCTGGCAAAGAGAGAAAGAGTTCGGTGCACGAGGCCTCAAAAATAGGAAGAAGTGCCGGCACAGTATAGCCACAGGGACATGCCGAGAAGGCTGTTTGTGCACAGAAACTATAGAAGCGATGCTACTAGTGCTGAAACAAAAAAGACACCGCGGGAATCAAAGTGATTTCTTTCTTTTACTATGCATATAAGCCGAAAAAGCGATGAGGGCATGGAAATATTTGGAAAAGCTGCTTTTCTGGCATTTATTTTGTTTGCAGCTGTTTTGAGTGTAATCGGCATGGGGTATTCCATAGAGAAATGCAGCACGTACATAGAAGGAAGCAGCGGGGTGGTAAAAACCCCAGACGGAAACAATCTGTGCGTGGTGAACCGCATTGCCAAGGACGAGAAGCACATGAAGGTTCTGGCCGTTATATCGCTAAACGAGCAAGAGGAGGAGGACCGCGAGAAACCTGCAGAAGCTGTTCTAAAGTACGAAATAGTAGATGCAGAGAGGCTGAAGACACAAATTGGAAATGACACGGGCGAGAACAACTGCGCCATAAACAACCCAATCCTGGGCCTTTCAGTGACCAAACCAGAGCTTGCAAGACTAACATGCATGATAAGCCCGAAGCAGTACAACGATATACACAGCAACATAATACCGCAAAATGCGAGATACGAAGAGCATGAGATTGAGGAGTACTCGGCGGAAATACGCGCAATTATAGACATGGTTCCAAAAAACCATGTTTCCCGCATGCTCAAGCTTCGGGGCGAGCGCTTTTGGCTGAGGAAAAGGTATTTGTCGATTCTGCAAAACATGCTTCTGGCCCTGTGCAATGAGAGTATAAGCAAGCCCGAGGGAGAAATAGCATGCATGGGCGGACTTTTGATGCTTTTTGATGTGCAACGCATTGAGCCCATAAACAGCATAAACATGGTGATGGACAAGTACAGGATGCTGCTGAGGGACTTTAAACACGGGAAACTCTCCTTGGAGGAAATGCAGGTGGCGGCAGTCAGCATGCGAATAGAGTACGAGCTTGTGTACGATCTGCTAAGCGAATTCGACCATCTGCACGACTGGTTCAGCATGGTGTTCCACAACGAGCAGCACCGGATGGCTGGCTTGGTGCCGGCTACTCCGGGCAAGGTGAGAACAAAAAACCTGCATAGCACCCGGGGAGACAAAACGCTGACTACATACATGCAGGAAATCCATATACACAAGTGCATGAAGATAAATGAGCTGCAGGATACGCCTTCGTCCGACGAGTTTGAGGAGTTTGTAACCAAGCCACTGATTTCGGACTTTTTACGCAAGAACACGCTTTCAAAAGACGAAGTATTTGATGAGCTGAAAGCGGCGCTGATATCTCCCGTAGAGAGCATAATTGTCGACCTTAAGATGTTTAGCAAAATCAAGAAGCATATAAAAAAGGAGATAGGAACGCAAGAATCCACTCTGCACTTTGCAAGCATGGAGGAGGCTAGAGGAAAGATGTCCAGCATCTGGCACAGCCAAATACTAGCAAACTATTTTAAAGACGAAATAAGAAAGTCTGAAATCTATTATTCGGAATATACCAGGCTGGCAGAAAAGTATTTTAAGGCAAAAATCCGCGTAAAGCGCAAAACCAAGAAAGAAGACCAGGCCATAACCAGCGAGGAAAGCGTATCCAGCGGCGCGGAAAGGCACCACAAAGTGAGCGGAATATCACTGAATGAGATCAACAAGCTGTTTCAATCGATCAACATGTTTCTCATCGGGGTGTGGGGCCTTAACAGAATTCTGGGGGGTTAGCCATTCGAGAGCGGTCGTTTACACGCTTGCCAGAAACTGCCGTGCTTTGTATAGTCTTTTGCGAGGAAAGGCGATTTAGAAAATAAATGCTATGCATTTGGATTGTGTATTATTTTGGAAAACATGCATTTTTTGAGAGTTTGCGCTGCCCAAATGTTCATATGGGCGCAAAAGGCCAAAGCACGTAGAATTGCGCCTTTAAGGAGGAGAAGCCTGTGGGCAGCAGGCGCACAGTGGAATATGCCACTTCAGGCATTCAAGTATATGCACTCTATCTGCGCGCTGATCGAGGAACTCATTCAATAGGTGGAAAACAAAGCCCACCAAAGGCCGCGCCATGCGCCTAGAAAGCGCTATATCGAGGGATGCCTACAAATAGCCTGAATTTTTGGATATGTGCACGTGCCATCAAAAAACAAATTGCAAAAGACAGAGATTTTTTTCAAACAAAAAGAACGTCCTAGAAGTTGTGCGTGCGGCTTTAATTACGCAGGAAAAGGCCAGGTCAATTTAAACTTTTTGTTTGTGAAAATATTGAAAATGCAGAAACGACAGTTTAAATTGGTAGAGAACAGCAAAAAACATGTACAATGCCTGAAGATTAATCGTGTGCGCGGAAGCGGGAATATGCACGGCACAGCCTTTTTACTGTGCTTTTTGCTATCGCTTTGCTCTGTGTTTTGCATTACAAGATCCACCAATATAAATACATATGTAAAACTTGAAAAATACACAATGCAGGGGAGCGCGGAGGATGGAAGCTACATATGCGATTCACCGTATGGGCTGAGCGGGCGGCCTGTTTTTGGCGGACAGATATTTTCGCATATTATCAGCTGTGCTCTGAAGGAAACCGAGGGGTATGAGGTTATTTCTGGAGACTGCATTTTCAAGGACAAAACAGACAAAGACTTCCCCATCGTGTACAACAGCAGCGTGGAGGCTCTCGGGTCTACCATTAAGCTGGTTCGGGTTGAGGTCCTCCAGGAGGTGGGCTCCGTCAAGAAAGTGAGGGCGGTGGGGTCTGTTCTTATGCACAAAAAGAAGGCAGCTATCATACAGGAGGGGAAGAAGTACATTGAAACCATCTCAAAGGCCCAGAGCAGCCAGATGCTAGATTACTTTGAGGACGCTGCAACCGACCAAGAGAAACTCGGCAGGATGAAGACCTCGGAGGAGTACTGGAAGGGCATCCTAAAGGACGAGGCCGACTACAGAAAATACATAGACACTCTGCACAGAGTATACTCCAATATAGACATATACATGCTATCCAACAAAAAAAACAACTTCTCCCGGTGCATTGGATACCAACTGCACAGAAAGCAGGAGAGCGTGGGGCCAGAGCCTGAGCAGACGGTTGCCCGGACCTGGACAATACTGGGGTTTATATCAGACGAGTACATACTGGAAACAGCACTCATGCCAGAGGGGCTCTGCATAGTGAACAGCAAGTACAACATTCTGACGCTCACACACTCCGTCAAGTTCAACGACTGCGAAAGGTTTGACCTAAACAGGCCGTTTTTCTACGACGTAAAAATCGACAGCATACACAACAACATAGCGACATGCACGGGAAGAATCATACAGGACCAAATAGTCTATGCGAATGTCTGCCAAACCGGAAAGATATTTGCATTGCAAAAGGCGAGAGAAGAAGACTCCAGCAGACTTAAATAAAGAGAACGCTAAAAATATTTTATGGTGCGCGAGAAGTACAGATACATCGTGTTTCGGATAAAGGGCGGAAAGGCAATTAGCGCCGCAGATCTGGAAAAGGCCATCCAGGACAGTGCAAGCTCGAACTTAAGCGACTGGGACTATGCAATGACGGCTCCCAAGATGAAAGTGGTCGAGTACTACCCCGTGCTGGAGATAGGGATCGTGAAGGTGCTTCTTTCGGGCGTCTCCCACATGCACGAAATGCTGAAAAGCCCTTTGAGCATTCGGGACGTGCAGTTTTCTGCTACGGCCGAGAAAACGTCGGGAATAATAAAAAAGGCCAAGAAGTGGATACTGAAGAAGAATAGCCTGCCAAAAAGAAGAAAGCTGTTTTAGCCGGACTATGCAGGGGCCCATACCAAGGCGGAATCGGCAAAAATTAGGACATTTTGTGCAAAATATGCGTTTCTGTGCATTTAGAGCTGTTCTCATGCAGTGCCGCGTGAGTAGGCACTCCGTGCACTTTAAGCCATGCATTTTCGGGCCTTCCAAAGAGATTTCTGAAGTTTCGTCTCTGAAAGCTCTGGGCTGGCCACAGCAAGCGCAGGGAAAGCATCTGCGGCTCTGCTGCCCAGAAAAGACCAAGTCTGAGCGCGCGGAGGCGGCAAAGCAGCACAATGTGATCTCTGAAACCATAACCCGAATAGTCCGAGCAACACGCGTAGAGGAAGAAGAGAACTGCCGAAGAGCCCGTGTAGAGACTGCACACATATTCCGTCGAAAGGCCGCAGCGCCAAAACTAGAGCCATGCAAAGACGCGATCAGGAAATCCACCAGTAATATGCGGGGATCGCATCAAGTGCAGACACTGAGCGCCAATTGGTGCGCTTATAGTGGGTGCAGAGGGCGAGAAGACTCCGGTGGGAGCTTTACAAAGTGCAGAATAAAGAAAGAAATAAGAGAAGGCAGGCGAAATTTAATTTTTTGCACAAATGAGCACAACTTCTCTTCTATTCAGCATAATACAGGCTGTGAAGCCGCCTGCCTTGGTGATCACGGGGAAAGAGGGCGAGCTTCGAGTGTTTGGCACAAACGTAGTAGATGTGCACATTTCCGCCAGCGGCTCGGGCATATCAAGCAGGCTAAATAGAACTGTGGAGGTGCGGACGGTTGAGTTCCAGAAGGTTCTTAAAGAGTGCAGGCTGTTCTCGGACATACAGTTCAGCAGATCCTCGCAGGCAGCGAAGCTGTGCATTGCGCAGGATGCGTACAAGCTGCAGGTAGAGTGCGCCGTAAAGGACGCCGAGGAAATAAAGCCGCCTGCACTGAACGCAGAAATCATAGTGGACTTAGACACGCGGCTTTTGAGGAGGGTTGTGACAAAAGATGCGCACTCGATAGAGATTCGGCTCGATCCGGAGAGCGTGCGGATAAAAGTAAACGGAGTAATAAAGGTGGAGGCGCACCAGAAGTCTGCAAATTACATTCGGAAGAAAGAAAAATCGCATGTTTTTATCATTCCAGCAGAGGGGTTTTTAATTGTATCTAAGATATGCCATCTTGAGCCAAATCGGGTCTTAATGGGGGTGGTGAATAGTGTCTCGATCTTCTACCTGTACTTTGCAGAGGCCACTGTGATATGCTATGCAGCGGGGACGCTTCTGCAGGTGTAGTGCGGAGGCACGGCCAAGCATAGGGAAAAGGGCAGCCAATGGAGAGTGATGGCAGAGCACGGGGAAGTGCCCCTGGCCGGTACTTTACTGCGAGCGTGTAAGGGGGCATGCTAAGCGCAATTCTCACAGCAACAAGCGTTATTCTGCTTGTTATTCTGCTAATGATTATATCGTCTATTCTTTTGTACTCAAATTATTCAGAGAAGATCTGCGAGGTGACTTTGGACGATTTGAACAGGAAGGCCACGCTCAACATAGACATTACGCAAGACAGCTTGTTTATTGGGCAAAAGATACTCGACGAGGTGTGGGTGATTGCCACGGTAGAGAACTGCGGGCTTTTGTCGAAAAAGGACCTTGCGCGGATACTGCGTGCACTGCGCAACACAGGAATAGAAGAGCTTGTTTTGAAGAGAGTAAAACCTCCGCTCGAAATAAATAGCGCGTGGCTGAACGGAATAAAAACAGTCCGGAGCGTCTCCTTTGTAGACTCCACCGTCTCGTGCCAGCTTCTGAACGAGGTCCGGATGGCTCCGCAAATAGAGTGCTTGAAGATCTCAGGAAGAAAAACAGAGTGGTTGTACGAAAGACACGAAGCCCCGGAAAGCATGGAAAACATCCAGTCGCTTGTGGTGAAGAACACAAAAAAGGGATTTTTCTCTGCTTTTCTCGGGTCGATGAGCTTCAGCCCTGTGCGGGACCTGCATCTAGACAGTTCAGGGCTTAGGTCGTTTCGCGCCCTCGCCAGTGCAGAGCTCACAAACTTGCGCAAGCTGAGAATCCGCCATGAGGTGCTGGACGGAGCCACCCTTGGAGACATAGCCAAGTTCAAGCATTTGGAAAGCCTTAGCATTCTGAGGAGCAAGGTCCTGCACGCCCCCTTGGCCGAGGACCGGGCTCCGGTGGTTGCTTTGTTTAAGAAAATGTGGCAATTCAAGATAGAAAGATCAGTGTATGATAAAATGCAGCGGATCTGCGCCTTCCAGACAAACGAGAAAAACATACACATATGCATGCACTACGCACGGGAGAAGTACTTTGTCGAGTACACTCCCATATACAACAAAACATGGCGGATTTTTAAGACGCAGGACAGCGGCAGCGTGCTGCAAGTGAAAGTTGCCGATATTGTCGAAGAGGACGCACTGAGTGAGACCCCCCAGAACGCAGAGAAGAAAGACCAAAGCTCTTTGCAGCTGCCTTTTTTGAGGGAAGAGCCCATGCAAGAAGTTGCCATAACGATAGAAATATCCCGGTCCAAGCAAGAGATGCAGAAACTTCTGAGGAGAATAATGGACAAGACAAAGGCATACACCCCAAGCAAAATTGCCGTGTATTTCAGCAAATCCTGCCCAATCGACAGAAAATACATAAAGAGAATCCTGAAGGACGAAGGGTATCCCTCCCTTGCGGAAGTGCGCTTTAACAACATGCTCCTGTGCAGCCCAAAGTTGCAGCGGCCCCAGAGCGTGACAAGTTTGCATTTGGTGCGCGTAGAAACAAAAGACAACAAACACACGTGGAAGGCCTTAGACAAAAAGAGCCAGAAAAGTGATATATTTTTATAGTGCACCAAAGCCTGCATGTACAGCAAATTGCAATGCAAAAAGTCATTACGCGGCACCGCCTCTTTCACGACCTTGGCGCCAGAGAAGCCCTACACGTGCATGCTTTCTATGTACGCAACAGTCGAGCCGTTTAATAAAGACCTTCCCAATTTTTCCTTTGTGTTGGAGCACACCATCTCGTCAACCAGGATGTTGACGTTGCTGTCGTAGTTTACAAATACCCCCGTGTAAACCCGGCCTGTTCGAAGGACTATCCGGATGCTCTTTCCTTTTTGCTGCTCTATCCAGTCGATGGGCTGCATAAAAAAATGCGAAATGCAAGAATATAAGCCCGAAAGGGCTGGGGCCGAGGAGATTAAAGAGTAAATGTGTGAAGAACGTTGGGCTAGCTCAATAAAAAACAAGCTGTTTTAGTGCCTTCTGAAAATATAGCAAAGTTTAGCACATCCTTCCATAAGGACAATGTGACTCTAATTGCAGGGTGTGCAAATATTAAAAATACTTAAGCAAAGAAAGAAAGTGCCCGGCCAAACAAACAAAGCCGCCCAGCAAACAAAGCGCGATATTAAGTGCAAATCAGCACAAGGAGGCCCAATATGCGGAAATGCACCAATAGTCTTTTTCTGCAGGCTGCAAAAGATGGCCGCGCCCGAAAGGCTGGGCTGTGAAAGATCAAATACGCAGATGGTTTCAGTATACTTTATTCTAGAATTAGAAATATCATAATAAAGAAAAGGAGAAGAATAATGTAGAATATTTTTGTGAGAAAGCACTGGCGCCCGTAGAGGCCTCTGTACTCGACTCCCTGCATGTGGAAGACCCGCAGCCCGTCCACGTACCCGAGTCCCATTATTTTTCTGGGGTTTCTGCACAAGGAAGCAGGCTCCTGCGGCTTTGGAAAGAATCCGTTGGAGCTGGTGTTTCCCTTCGAGTATATTGGTATAACAGCAGATATACTGCACGTGGCCTTACACACTGGGCATATGCTGGACTTCTCGCTCCACCCTTGGATACACCCCCAGCAGAACAGGTGCCCGCACTGCGTGACCACTGGGATTTCTACGTCGCACATGCATATGCTGCAGTCGAAATCAACTCTTTTTTCGATTGGTCTTGATATAACTTCTTCTTGCATGCTCCTTAAACGCACATCTCCTATAAATCCAAGCAAGCCAATCATCTACTCCTTTGTGTAGCAGACGCTGAGCGCCTCCATGGCGTGGAATCGAATGTCTTCGCTGGTCTTGCTGGAGAGTATCTCAAATAGGGTCAGGTGGATGTTCATTTGCCGGATTAGCGAAACAGATTCTGGGTACACCTCTACAATTCTGTATATGTCATTTGCAGAGATCCAGACGTTGTTCGGGTCGTCTGACTTTAGGAATCTTTTCAGCGTTTTGATGATGTCTGATCTTCTAATAATGAGGTTGTTTAGGTTGTTCTTCCAGAACTCCGTGCTGAAATGGTATGGGTACGGCTGCAGGGTTCCGCACCGCAGCTCCTCCAAATACGCGTCAAACGTCGACACGTTCTGCGAGAGCTTTATGTACCTCTTCCGGCAGTACTCTAGGTCTTCTTGCTCCTCCGGGTCCTCCTTGTTCCCCCGGTGCGACACCACAGAGAGAAGCTCTTCTATTTTCTGGAATGTCCCGTAGTTGTACTTGTCGGTGAACCGGAGATAGTTCTTTATGATGCTGAGCGACACGCGAAGCTCTTTCTCCTTCCCGTCCTTCGATATAAACGAGAGCATGTAGAACATGGGAGAGACCATGAGGATTTTCAGCGCCTTGTGCGAAAAGGTCAGCAGCCACAGAAGAAGCAGGCCCTGATACTTGCACGTTCGCTTCGTGCACACATTTAGTATTGCCGTGAACAGTTCTGTATTCTGCGCTATTTCCTCGCGTATTTTGTTTTCTGTGAAAAGCTGTATTTGGAACCTCTCTTTCTGATAGTCTACAGTGCACAGCTTCTGCAAAAACATGAGGACCTGCTCGGTCTTTTTGCTGTCCGGGTCCTCTCGGATCGCCTCAGCCACGGTTTTGTAGTACTCTGGGCTCGCTGTTTTTTTGTGCTGGTACACGCGAGTGAGTATTTGCAGCGCCTTCAGAGAAATCAAAAGGTCGCTGTTTTGGCTGAGCGCCAGCAGACTGTTGACTATTTCGGGGTTGTCAAGCGAGGTGGCCGACAAACTTCCAAGTTCCATAAGAGTGCTGCGTATCTTGTCTTTGCAGCCGTCTTCTTTCAGCTTGCTTAAATATTTTTCTATGCCCATTTGTATTCTTCTTTAAACAAAATTGATTTTCTTTTATTTTGTCATTCAGCCTGCTCCATGAAAGTAACTGATGAAAATAATATAGCAACTGTGCGCAGTAGAAAGGTGAAAAGGAAAGCCTTCGCAGATATTCACAATAGAAAGCAGAAATCCCAATTGGACATGATTGAAGAATCTTTGAAAGCTGACATTACTGCGGTGTCAGAGTATTCCCACGAGATACTCACGCACTACATAAAGGACCAGGAGAACTACATGGCGTCTCCAAACTACATGGAGTTTCAGGAGGAAATAAGATGGGCGATGCGAGCTGTGCTGATAGACTGGATCATAGACGTGCACCACAAGCTGACCCTTCTCCCGGAGACGCTGTATTTGTCTGTTAACTTAATAGACCGGTTTCTTTCTCTTAGGATTGTGACAATAGGAAAGCTGCAGCTGGTTGGGGTTGCTGGGCTGCTCATTGCCTCAAAGTTCCAGGAAGTGGCGTCGCCTTCTGTGGAGACGTTTGTCATTCTCACGGACCGGAGCTTTACCGAAAACGAAATACTCCGGGCAGAGAAGTATATGCTGCACTGCCTGGAGTACAAGATAAACTTTCCCTCTCCCCTGAACTGGCTTAGGCACTGCTCGCACAATAAAGAAGTTGCGAGCCTGGCGACTGTAATACTGGACTCCTTGCTGCCAGACGAAGGCTTTTTGAAATATTCTCCTTCTGTCCTGGGGACGTCTGTGTCGTATGTGGCCAGGACGCTTATGCCGCAGGAGAAAAGAGAGTTTGAGGTATTTAACAAGTTTGCAATGCACTCCAAAAACGAGCTGGAAAAATGTATAGACGAGATAAAAGAGTATCTACAAAAACCTATCCTGCACAGTTCTATTTTCAAGAAGCATGGAACTTCATTCACTAAATATTTAGATGCTCTCAACAAATAATAACTCTATGGATGCACCAGAACAATAAATACTGCAGAAATTAGTAGAAGTATACTGCTGGCCAGCCCAGATCTTTTGGCACGCGAGGAGTCTTCCAGGAGCTCCTTTATTTGGGTGCCAGCCTTGCTTTTGGCTGAGGGACTATTACTTAGCGCTAAAAGAGATTTTATGCCGTGTTTTGCGTGGAAAGCACTATCACCCGGGCCAAGTAACACTCGGCAGGCTGTGATTCTTAGAGCGGCTGCATCCGTGTATGATGCCGTGAAGTTTAGCACGATAGAGCTGATAATCTCAAGGCACGAGCAGACTTTGAAGGTATTTGAAAATGAGAAGAATCTGGAAGTGAATTTGCACAAGCTAGCAGCAATCCAGCTTAGAACAGGTACATACTCTCTGGTAGACTCTTTAATAATGGCAGACTATATTGTCGAGAGCACAAAGAGAATATCCAAAGCACATAAGAAAAACGTCGACGGCAGTGTTTTGTGACATTTGAGGGAATCAGAGCAGTGGATGCGCTTGAGTTCTCTATCTTGGAAAGCCTAAGCAACAGCATGCCCAACAAAGACAATATATTCTCGAAGGGAGAGTTTTCATGGGAAAATTAGATCTACAATAGTAAGATCAAAAAATATCACATGAGATAGGCATGGCTTAGGAATCCCGAAAAAGAGCACGGAAGAAGGCTTGAACATGCTTCTGGGTCTTCTGGAAACCTTAAAACCATATTTGGGAACAGGTCAGACCCCCATAGTAGTGAAAGGCCTAGCTCTGGATAAGGCAAATGCTAGTGATATAACTCCAATCATGCAGGGGATTTCTGGTAAGATTAAAAGGCTGCAAAATGAGTATGCTTCCGCCTCTAAAGACTTCGAAAATAAGCTAATGGATTTCTGCGAAAACGGAGCACCTGACTGTTTGCCGGATGTGCATGAGTACAAGTCGATGCCAGGTGACCCAATGAATGGCAAGGTTGCGCTAGAAAAACACAGAAATATCTACGAAAAAAACCTGGTACACAATGATCCTTCCACGGCAGATGCAAGTAACCCCAGCGCACCATAAGCATTTCTATGCAGCAAATTGAAAGTTTTCTGATCCCACGTGCTGATATTTAGCTGGCACACAGAAAAACCCGAATATGTTTCCCCGGTTAATTTCCGGCTGCTCTCTTCAATAGCGATTTTTAACTGATTCTGCTGTTTCCCTATGCAACGCAGCAGAGCAGAATAAATATATTTTCTAGAATATTTCTTCTATGCACAGGCCAGAGAATATATGCCTGTTTTGAGTTTGGCTTTAAACTATATATTCGTGCTTGATGCTGCAGAGTGTCCCGTGAGAATTTTCTCTACGGCGCAAACTGTGCTTGCATTTGAGCCTGGATGATTTTCAGGCCTTTTCAGAGCGCGGCCTGCGGAAGAGTCCAGTGCACCACCGCATACATACATCGCAGCTTTGCTTAATCCCGGGCTGTGCATTCGAGGATGCTTTCTTTTTATTTTTTATTTTTGCAAATTTTTCAAAGAGTTCCCAAAAGCGCCATTGCGTGCTGGAAACAGCTGTGGGCATGGGAAATTAATCAATAAATCCAAATAGTTCTATTTAAGAGTGCGAAGTGCAGCCACGCCCAAAACCCCGGAATGACATTGAAAAGTCTTAGACCGCGCAGTTCAGGCACAGCTTGGCTACTTTGTGCTTAGAATGCAGAAATCACTGACTTTTCACTGCAGAAATAAACCTGCTGGAAATAGCTGTGTGCGTAGGAAATTATTCAATAAATCTAACTAGTTACAGAAATAAACAGCAATTTAGCAAATTATTCTCTAGCAATTTTTCCGGGATAGTTCAAATAGTGTATTTTTACAATGCATCCAAACAAAAATGGCTAGTAATTAATCAGCTACACGCCTATATAAAGAGAAGAAAACAGAAAAGCATGAACTTACGCATACCAATCGGGTTTATAACTCTGATAATCGCCATGATTATGTCAGCCTTTGTAGTCTTTGACTTAACGAGGCACATGGGAAAAACCAATGACGGTATAATAGAAGCATTGCTCGATACAAGGGGATATCCAGAGCCCCAACAGCACATGCCATTCGCAAACAAAGAGCTAACTACAAATAACGCCGCAAACATGGAAGGTGATGTAAAGCCCCAGCACCACGACACGCCATTCGCAAACAAAGAGCCAACTACAAATAACGCCGCAAACATGGAAGGTGATGTAAAGCCCCAGCACCACGACACGCCATTCGCAAACAAAGAGCCAACTACAAATAACGCCGCAAACATGGAAGGTGATGCAGAGCGCCAAAACTGCTGGGTGTTCTTAAAAAAAGGTTCACCTAAAAACTACATCATAAGTAAGTATGGTGAACACAAAAATGCTTTGTGCTTTGTAAAAGACCTAGACAGCCCCATTTCAAAAGTGGACTTAAAGATAGACTTTGAGCAATTCGGTGCAAACGAAACATCCGAAATAGAGATCAAGTACAAGCTCCTGAACGGGGACAATCTGCGAAAAAACTTTGCTAAATACAAGAAAAACTGTATTTTTGGCAAGGTAGACCCAATTGTCGAGAATTCTGTGGAAATGTCCAAATTCTTGTGTTTTGCCTCAGAGCTGGCGTATACGAACTTTTATGCAAATATAATTGCAGACAGGAGGTTTATCGAGCGTAAGAGTGGGCTTTTGAAGGATGATGATGAACTGAAAAAAATTCTCTATTTCGGGTGGGAGTCTTGCCTTTGGTCGGAAAATTACTACGCATCGCTGAATGAACTTTTAAAAAATGTTTTCCATGAAAAGAACTATCCTGAAATAGAAGCCTTTCGGCAGGTTGAGCTTCTTGGAGGTCTTGCATTTGTGTATGACGCCGTGAAATTTAACACATTCAACACGATAGAGCTGATAATTTCAAGGTACCAGCAGACTTTGAGGGTCTTTGAGGACGAGAAGAACCTGGAAGATAAGCTGCACAAGCTAGCAGCAATCCAGCTTAGATCAAATGCATACTCTCTGTTAGACTCTTTAATGCTTCTAGACTATATTCTCGAGAGCATAAAAAAGATATCCAAAGAATATGAGGGATTCGTTAAGGAAGGCAGCATTTCGGCTGCAGTGGCAGGGACCAGAGAAGTGCATGTGCTTAACTTCTCCATCATGGACAGCCTAAATAACAGCACCTTCAGAAAAAACAATATATTCACGAAGCAGAAGTTTACCTGGACAAATTACATCGACATAGATAGGAATGTGACCGAAACATTACAACATGAGATAAGCGCGGCTTGGGAATCTCCGAAAACGAGCATGAAGGAAGACTTGGAGATGCTTTGGGATCTTCTGAAAATGTTAAAAACACGTTTGGGAACAGGCCAGACCTCCATATTAGTGAAAGGCATGTCTCTGGATAAAGCAAGTTCTGATGGTGTGAGGAATATCATGAAAAGTATTTATGATAGGATTTTATGGCTGCAACTTGGCTACATTTCTGCTATTACAAAATTCGATGGTAAGATAAGCGATTTCTGCAAAAACATACCACTTTACTGTTTGTCGGATGTGCATGAGTATGAATCGATGCCAAATAACCCAATGAAAGGCAAGGTTGCGCTAGAAAAACACAGGAGTGCCTACGAAGAAGCCCTGGTATACAATGATACATCCACAGCACCGGCAAGCAATCCCAGCACAACATAAGCATTTCTATGCAGCAAATTGAAAGTTTCCCAGCCCTGATCTCGCCACGTGCTGGTATTTTACTGGCACATAGAAAACCCCGAATATGTTTCCCCAGTTGATTCTTGGTTGTTCTCTTCGATGGCGATTTTCAACTGATTCTGCTGTTTTCCCATGCAATGCAGCAGAGAATTGAAAAATATGAATTTCATGAGAAATAAATATATTTTCTAGAATATTTTTCCTATGCATAGGCCAGAGAATATCTGCCTGTTTTTGCATTTTTGAGTTTGTCTTTAAACTATATATTCGTGCTTGATGTTGCATAGAGTGCCCCCGTGAGAATTTTTCCTACAGCGCAAACTGTGCATGCATTTTGATCTCAGATGATTTTCGGGCTTTTTTATATCGTGGCCTGCGGGAGAGTCCAGTGCACCAGCGCATACATACACCGCAGCTTTGCTTAATCCCGCGCTGTGCATTCGAGAATGCTTTCTTTTTATTTTTTATTTCTGCAAATTTTTCAAAGAGCCCCCAAAAGCGCCATTGCGTGCTGGAAACAGCTGTGTGCATGCGAAATTAATCAATAAATCTAAATAGTTATATTCAAGGGTGCGACAACTACAGCCACACCCAAAACCAGGGAATGGTCTTGAACAGTCTTAGACCGCGCAGTCCAGGCACAACTTGGCCACTTTGTGCACAGAATGCAGAAACCACCGATATTTCGCTGCAAAAATAAACAGCAATTTAGCAAATTATTCTCTAGCAAATTTTCCGGGATAGTTCAAATATCCGGGTTATTAAAATGCATCCAAACAAAAATAGCTAGTTATTAATCAGTTACACGGCTATATAAAGAGAAGGAAATAGAAAAGCATGAACTTACGCATACCAATCGGGTTTATAACTCTGATAATCGCCATGATTATGTCAGCCTTTGTAGTCTTTGACTTAACGAGGCACATGGGAAAAACCAATGACGGTATAATAGAAGCATTGCTCGATACAAGGGGATATCCAGGGCGCCAAAATCCCATGCCATTCGCAAACGATGAGTCAAATACAAAACGAACCACAAACATGGGGGGATATCCAGGGCGCCAATATCCCATGCCATCCGTAAGCGATGAGTCAAATACAACACAAATCACAAGCATGGGGGGAGATCCAGGGCGCCAAAATCCCATGCCATTCGCAAACGATGAGTCAAATACAAAACGAACCACAAGCATGGGGGGAGATCCAGAGCGCCAATATCCCATGCCATCCGTAAGCGATGAGTCAAATACAACACAAATCACAAGCATGGGGGAAGATCTAGAGCGCAAAAACTACTGCATATCATTCGTAAACGAAGAGCCTGGAAAATACGTCATAAATGAGCATGCCGTCCACGGAAATGCTTCGTGCTTTGTAAAAGACATATTCGATCCCCTTTCAAAAGTGGACTTAAAAATATACTCTCGGCAATTCGGTGCAAACGAAACATCCGAAATACAGATCAAGTACAAGCTCCTGAACGGGGAAAGCATGCGAAACAACTTTGCCGAATACCAGAAAAACTGTATTTTTGACTATTTAGAGCCAATTGTCACGAATTATGTGGAAATGTCCAAATTTGCGTGTTTTGCCCCAGAGCCGGCGTATACGAACTTCTATGCGAATATAATTGGAGACAGGAGACTTATAGACATTAAGAGCAGGGTTTTGAAGGGAGAGAATTTGGCAAAAGTCCTCTATTTCGGGCGGCAGTCTTGCCTTTGGTCGAAAGATTACTACTTAACACTACGTGAACTGGTATATCATGGTTTTTATCTAAATTACGATAACCCCGATCTAATTAACGCCCGGCGGGTTAAGCTTCTTGGAGGAATTGCATTTGTGTATGACGCCGTGAAATTTAACACATTCAGCACGATGGAGCTGATGATTTCAAGGTACCAGCAGACTTTGAAGGCCTTTGAGGAGAAGAACTCGGACATAAATTTGAAAAAGCTGGCAGCAGTCCAGCTTAGAACAGATGCATACTCTCTGATCGACTCTTTAGCTTTGATAGACTATATTGCCGAGAGAATAACCCGAATATCCGAAGAACACGATAAATTCGTTAACGAAGGCAGCATTTCGGCTGCAGTGGCAGGTACCAGAGAAGTGCATGCGCTTGACTTCTCCATCATGGACAGCCTAAATAGCAGCACCTTCGGAAAAGACAATATATTCACAAAGCAGAAGTTTATATGGCAAAGTTACAAGACCATGGATGCGAATGTGACCAAAGCATTACAAGATGAGATAAAAACAGCTTGGGAATCTCCGAAAACGTGCATGGACGAAGACTTGGAGGCACTGCGGGATCTTCTGAAAATGTTAAAAACACGATTGGGAACAGACCAGACCTCCATAGTAGTGAAAGGAATGCCTCTGGATAAGGTAAGTGTTGATAGTGTGGAGGGTAGGGTAGACTCTGTTTGTGATATGCTTTTAACGCTGCATAATCTATATGATTCTGCCTCTAACGACTTCGAAGATAAGATAATGGATTCCTGCAAAAACAAAACATCTGACTGTTTACCGGATATGCATGAGTACAAGTCGATGCCAGATGACCCAATGAAAGGCACAATTACGCTAGAAAATCACAGGAGTGCCTACGAAGAAGCCCTGGCACACAATGATTCTTCCCCGATACCTGCAAGCAATCCCGGCACATCATAAGCATTTATATGCAGAAAATTGAAAGTTTTCTGATCCCACGCGCTGGTATTTTACTGGCACACAGAAAACTCCGAATATGCATCCCCAGCTGATTCCTGGCTGTTTTCTTCGATGGCAACTTTTAACTAATTCTGCTGTTTCTCCATGCAAAGCAGCAGAGAATTGAAAAATATGAATTTCATGAGAAACAAATATATTTTCTAGAATATCTTCTTATTTTTGTATTTTTGAGTTTGGCTTTAAACTATATATTCGTGCTTGATGCTGCAGAGAGTGCCCCCGTGAGAATTTCTCCTACAGCGAAAACTGTGCACAAATTTTGACCTCGTATGGTTTTCGGGCCTTTTCAGAGCACGGGCTGCGGGAGAGTCCAGGCTTCAACTATGCTTCTTGCAGCACGAAAACACCTGCACATGATCAGCTAGTCCGCTCTCTTATAAGAACCTGCATTTTACACGGCAGGAGAGAGGATTGCCTGTCATGCGCAAAAGTACAGTGCTCGAGTTAAGCGGTGCTAATTTATTTATGTGCAGGCCAGGACTGTTTGGTCGAGTGGCGCAATTTCCGCGCGGCCGCATATGAAAGCAGACTTGAGCCGGGCAAGCCCTTGGTATGGACTCTAAGCCCATCTCCCCTTCCGAGTTATGGCTGGCTCAGGACTTGCCATGGAGGCTATCTTTTTACTTTGAACTCTCTTTCCTTGCCCCTCTTAAGGTAGTGTTTTTTCGAGGTCATCAACTCTTCGGGCTTGGTGCGCATTTCCTTCTTTTTCTTCTCCTCCTGCTGTTTCTGGTACCACGCATAGCTGACTGCTTCGTCAATGCGGTACGAGTCCGGAACTGTGTGGTTTTCTCGGTTGAACTCCTCTGGGTCGTGGCCTGGCACAGGATGCACGTACCTAATGTGGCCCTCAATGTACTGGCGTATAATCATCTTTAGCAGCTTTCCCTCCTCCATACACCCAGTTGCCTTTTTCAGGAAGTGGACGAAGTTTTCCTCCTGCGGCCGCCTCGAGTCGTTCACAAACTCTATGACTTTTGTAAGGTAGCACATTCTGCGTATGCCCACTCTATCTACAATTACCTTCAGGCAGTCCCGGATGTCTCTTGTTTGGTCGAGCGAAAGAATTCCGTTTAGCAGGAGATCCTCCTTCTGCGCCACAAAAGTGGGAAATACCAGCCCTGGACAGTCGCAGACTATTTTTTCGTCCAGCTGCAGAGTCTGGATGTTTTTTGTCTTTCCCGGGATGATGCTGGTTTTCACCACCTTCTTCTTGAAAAGCGAGTTTATGGTCGAACTCTTCCCCACGTTCGGATATCCTATCATTCCAATGCGAGCAGACTCCCCGAGAATGCCGGACCACTGCTGCATAAGGTCGTCGGAGCTGTCCTGCAGCGTAGAGTAGAAGGCGTGGCTCACCCCTTTTTCTGTGAAGTATGCGCTCCAAAGGGCTTTCTGCTTTTCTGTTAGAAGGTCGGACTTGTTCAGCAGCAGAAAGTGCTTTTTGCTGGGAGCTGCGCGCAGAACATCCTCGGTGTAGAAAAGCAGCGGATTACGCGCATCAACAATCTGCACAATCAAGTCGCTATTTTCCAGCGTAAACCACAGCTGTCTCCACACGTTCAAGTTTCTCTCGTACGGGGTGATAACGCCTTTTTTGCTAAGAAGCGCATTCATGCTGAGCTTCCACATGTTGAAGAGCTTTCTCTCCTCGTTTTTGTACTCCTCTTTCTCCAGCACGCCGGAGGGCTTCTGCGGGATTCTTATGCTTGTTTCGGGCGCGTGCATCTTCGTAAGCTCTTTTATGGACGTGTTTTGCGTGAAGTCGTACTCTATGATTTCCGCTGCCTCGACCAAAGAGTCAACCTCTGTGGTTTCTAGAACACTTTTGAGGGACTTGTTCTCCTTCTGGGGCTTGTTCATCCTTTTGTCTTTTATAACGAGCTTCCCCCACTCGTACTTTGTCTTCATAAAAAACAGCTGAAAATTTAAATTAATACCGCAAGCTGCCTGATGTGCGTAACGGATAAATGCGCAGAAGCCAGCACATGCGGAGATAAAAGGGCCTTTTGCAGGGCTGTGATAGAGGACAACCATACTTCACGCAGAAGCCGCGTGATTAACTGTGAAAATCAGAGAGCAGAAGGCTCTATCTGTGTGTATAACGCAGCGTATTGGCTTGATTTTCTGATGGGCGCTACTTCAGACGGAAAATTAGCAATTCTTCTGAGTTAATCGAGCCAAATGGTGCCACGTCAGCGCTTTGGAAGAAAGCAGGCTTTTTTCCAAGCTCTTCCAAAGCAGATGCATGCGAAATTAGAGCGTGGAGGACAGGAAATGCAGCCTTTCAAGGCAATTCTAGAAATTTGGATGGGTTTTGGAAAAGTTTTAATCTGTTCTTTTATTTCGAGTTTGCGAATGGTTTTGTGTTTAGCCCGTGATGGGCCAAAATGTGCTAAATTTCGAGAGCATCCTTTTCCTGGGAAAACAGCATCTGTTCAGCGCAGGGCGCATCACTATGAATTTCTGCACAAAGTGCCCCAAGCAGGGGAGTCTCCACTCTTCGGCAGCATCCACTATTTTCTCGGGCTGCAGAAGTTCTATGCGGACAGGCGCACTTTGTGCAGAATGCGGCAATTTTGCTTCACTTCGCAGCAAAAGTGTGCCACCCGCGAAGAAAGAAAGCCCGCATTTTCTAAAGAATTTACGACATTAAGTTTTAATTCGGGTTATTCCAGCAAATATCTCTGTAAATATTAATTATATATTGAATGATTTAGAAATATGCTAGTTCTCTGATCAAAAAAAGTATTTATACTTTGGCAGGGATATATTTGAAGAGATAATGGGGATAAAAAAAATAGCTGCAGGAGTGCTTTTGCTGGGGGCTTCTGGGATATTTCAGGCAAACGCCATTGATAAAATAGAGAAAATGTTTATGAAAGCGTGCAAGGAGCTGCAGCAGGACATGCATGACGTGATAAATACCGAAGCAAGCAAGCTGATAAGTAGGGCCGAGGCAGATACAGACAGCAAGAGCGATATGCTCAAGGCCGTGGTAACATGCATGCCAGAACCTGCACATCTTCTGAGCAGAATCATGGAGAAGTTTTCGGACAGGGCTGCGTGCGACTCGACAGAGGACGAAATAAAGTGCAGGAACAGCGTGCAGGCTACGTTTAACCATGTGATTTTTCTGGAGAGGATGCTAAATAATGAAAAATCGATCATGCTAGAAACGCTCAATCCGTCAAGCGCGAAGAAGCTCCGCGCTCTGTATAAAAGCCCGGCCAAGAAGCTGAAGAGAAGGCAGAAGAAGCTGAAGCTGATTGGAGCAAGCCTGAAAAGAAGCAAAAAAATGGAGAGTGAGTGTTTCAAATGTGTAAGCCGCCTGAAAGAAGCCCAGGACACTGTGTTTAACAATTACAGCAACCTAACAAACATGCTGCATGCGAGCAAAAACGTCCGGCTTATTGCGAATTTCTATTATAAGGAAATATGCGCTCTCGACGTGTATGAGCTTATTTATAGCTTTACAACAAGCATTAGAAACGACCTGTCCTTTTTCAGCGACTACCTGGAGGAAACACTGAAGAATTCAGATTACACGCAGGCAGATCCAGAAGAGCAGGCGCTGTTTCTCTTGGGGGCTCTCTACAGCATAGTGAACGGAATAGAAAGCGCATTTATGGAGATAAACGACTGCATTTCGATCGAGTTATTATTGCAAGGCTTTAACAAGGCGCAAAGCAAAGACTGCACATTCTTGCATAAAGCTGTCCAGATTGTTTTAAAAAACAAAGCGATTAGGCTGGCGTCTGAAAGGACAAAGATTACAAGCGCATAAAAAAGCCCAACACCCGGAAACTGGCCCCATAAGGCACCCGAACCGCATTTAAATAAAGAAGCTCAGGCTCTGCGCCTTCCTGGTTTGCCCTGTGCAGGATTGGAGATGCAGCCACAGCCCACGCCCCTATAAGAGCATTACAGCTTGGAATTGCAATTGAGTGATGGCGCCCGAATAAAGTGCAAGCTCGATCATATTTATAATGCAGCTGCATGCACTGACGAATCAGCATATAAGTATTTAGAAGGCCAAATTTAAATATTTAAGAGATGCTGCAAATAGCCACTTTCAGCGCGGCATATAGAAGAAAGGCTGCAGTAAGGGCATGGCAGTTGCGGCTGCAGCAGTACCCAGGCAGAAAACCCTGCAGAGCTGAGGCAGAAGCAAAGGAGATTTGCAGGGGTGCATAGAGCTGCATGAGTGCAATAGTAGAGAGTGCAGGCGCTGTCACTGGCTTTGTGCAAGCTCGTAGTGTGGACCCAAGAGAAGACGCAGAAAATTTTCTTCCATCTGCAGATTCTCTATTGGACACTGCGCAGAGAAACTTTGCAGAGACAATTTCAGAAAAATCCCACTCCTGCAGGAAAACAGCGGATCCCTGGGAAAAGAGCATATTCTACCGGAGATTAGCTTGGTTGCTCCCAGCAAACGACTTCAAGAGGCATGTGTGGAAAGGTGGATTCTGGACCATGAGTACTTGGAGGAGGCTCTGAGCCCCAAACAAGGCAGCACGCCCGTGGAAAGCAAGCAGAGGGAAGAACTTGCAGTGCTTGCGCAGAATTGCCAGGGGACTGTGGGGCTGAAAGGTTTCTGCTGTTGAGAGCCGGCAGACAGCGGAAATGCACAGCATCTGCAAGACAAGAGCCCGAGAAAGCCAAGCTGTCAAAGGCAAATTAAAGAGGCAAAGCAGAAATTCCTACTACGCCGCGATGCATACGCATAAAAATGCATGCGTCGAGTTTTCTATTTCAGACACTCTTTTAGGAAAAGCACAAGCAAGATCATGCGCAGCCTCGCAATATCCCATATCCAAATGATCTCTGAGTGCATAAATACCCCAAAAAATCAGTCTTTAGCACGGAATGAAAATAAAGAAAATAGCAGTGTGTCTAACTGCAACGACAATGTGCCTGAAAGTTTGCGTGCATGCGAGCAGGGAGAACTTCACAGGAGACTATGATAAAGACTTTCCGGGCCTTCCCTTGTGCGCCAAAGTAAGCATGCGCGAAATAATAGAAAAAACAGTGGATGCTTCTATGAGAAATACCGGTCCTGGCCAAGCCCCTGTGCGGGTACAGCACGAGATTCCAAGGCCAGAGCCACTTCTGAGTGAAACCCAGAGCAACCACGAAAAATGTGCGCAGCCCGAAAAAGCGTCTTTCTTCCAAGAATTCCAGAGGCCTATGCCAGTGCAAGAGACGGGAAAAAAATCGGGCAAATTAGAGCCGGCCCAGCAAGAAAGGACCGCAATTACATGCGAAGACACGGGATACTCCTCCTCAGATGAATCCATTGAGGAGAGAGATCCATATTCAGTGCCCAAGAAGGAAGTGCTAGAGCTGATTTCCGATAACTTGGAGTCCAGCAGGAAGACACTGCTTGTGTGCAAGGAGCTAATGAAAAAGCTAGAGAGCAGAACAAAATGCGCCCGGAAAGACAATTTATCGCAGAGAATCATGCTGGGCCATGCAGTCCTGCTTTCTCTGCAGGACACTGCGCATGCTCTGCAGCAGGAAACTGCGAATTCTTCTGAGGCTCCCTACATGCAGACACTTGCGGGGATGGCCAAGCACTTCTTTATGGCATACGAATTAGAGCACTCCAAGCAGGCTCTGTGCCTGCTGGTTGGGTTGGACCTGTCGGGGCGAAAAGATGAGAACCTGCCCGACACTGTGCACGTCAGGTTTCTCGTACTGTGCTGCGGGTTTGAAGCTGGCTGCTTAAAACTGCAGAAACACATCACTGAGCTTAACAGCTTCCACACGAACTTTAAAAAAGCCCAGCAGGAAATGAAAAAAACCTTGCTTGAAATTTCCCAGTGCGAAACAGTCGACAAAATGGACATAGTCTATAAGTTCAAGGAGATGGGGCTAAATGTCTCTTCCGCATGCACAGGCTCCGCAGTAGATTCTGAGAAGGTGCCGCCTAAGAAAAGGAAAAAGCTCAGAGCGTGCGCTCAGACAGGCTTCTAAAGCGTTTGCTGAGAAAGGCGTAGGTACTGCCTGTGCATGGGAAACAGCTGTTTTGGCAGAGCTCATTTTTGGCGCGTGCTGGCAATGCTCATTTGCATCGCTGTTTTAATAAAGTATCTTAGTTAATATTCTGGCAGATGCATCATTTCGCAAAAGAGTGATTGCGGCATGATTAAAGTCTGCATTTTTATTCTGAAAAGCGAGCATTCTATCTCAATGGAAGGAAAAAAAACAAAAATAGGCTTTTTAATGCTGGTTCTTTGCGCGGTGGCAAAGGCAACCGCGTATAGTAGCTTGAAGAGCGAGCTGGAAAGGGTAAGCGAAGAATTCTACCAGAACATGTGGAAAGTGATAGATACGGAGGCGAGCAAGGCGGTGGCGCGTTGCCCGGAGAACACGCCCAAGAATGTGCTGGTATGCACAGCACTAAGCCATCTTCCGCACGCAAGCCAGATTCTGTACAACATTCATTGCTGGCAGGCTGCGATCAAAGTAGATGAAGCCACAGAGTACGAGAAAACCGCCAGAAAATTAATGCAGTGCGTGGTAGATGATGCAGTTCTGATTTCCCGGGCGCACAAAAAGACGCCAGAAATACTCATTTCCGACTGGATAATGCTTTCGAAGAGCGGGCACCCGAACATAGAGCAGATAATATTGGAGGCAATCAGCACGGACAAGGGCAAGCTAATGGAAAACACCCGGGCCACCCTGGAGAACATCAGGAAAGTCCTGAACAAATGCATTGAGGAGGTCCATGCGAAAGCCCAAGCCCAAGAGAAGAACCTTGTCTCTAATAGCATATATAGGCGCATACATAGGCTGCTAGAGTCTAAAAAGTCCCTATGCCTATCCATGAGGAGGTGCACGTTTTTCCTGGACAATAGTGTCTATTGGAGGAAGAAGCCCATATCCATTAGAATCGCTGTTAAAAAACTCAATACCACTCTCCTGGGATTTGGCTTTTCCTACAGCGCCAGCCTGAAGAATGTCACGGAAAGCCAGCTATTTGAGAAGTGCAGCATGGAGGGCAAAATCCAGCTATTACTCGGACTTGTGCACAGTCTGGCTTGCGGGCTAGAAAGCAAAGTCAGCAACATAAAAGAGCGCATCAAGCTGGAGAGCATGCGCATACTGTTTGAAGAGCAAAAGCATCCAAGTGCAAGACTCGTGTACGCAATTGTCAGAATTATACTGAAAACAAGAGTAGACGCTGCTGCAATAGCTAGGACGAAAAACGAATATATGCCAAATCATGGAAACAATGCCCTTCTAGAGGATATACTCTCAATCGATTGGAAATGAGCTGCCAAAATAAACTGCAGCCAAGACCTGCCGTCTCCGCAGTTTCCCAGCACAGAACAGCGCGAATCCCGTGCATTGCCAACCTACTGGAACATTCATACATCCGGGCACTTCGAGAGCAGAAAATGGAAGGGGACAGAATGCCCTGCCGGGAGAGTATAGCAGGCCATCCAGCATCCGCACTCCCTGGGCTGCACTTCCAATAGCTCGTAGATCTGTCAAGTACCCCAGATTTACGCGAAAAAGCAGCTGCCATGCCGTGGGACGCGCTGAAAAAAATGCACGGCCTGCATCCCCGCAGGACACACCCCAGGAAAGACTGCGCCTCTTCTTGCACTCTTTTATTTTCTGTTGCTCCATTTTCAACGTGTTTATGCGCTTCTGTCTTTTTTTATTTCTTTTTTCTTTCTACCCTGTATGAAGTTCAATAAAAGTGTGAGCAGTTCCAGGAGAAAGTGCAGAAAAGCACATTTTGCAGCAAACGATGCAAAGAGAAGACTAATCATGTCCTCGACTCTAAGCAAAGAGCTTAGAGAGCAGTACGTTTTCAAGTCCTTCCCCATTGTAAAGGGAGACGAGGTGCTGGTGAAGAGCGGAGACTTGAAGGGCAAGTCCGGAAAGGTCACAAAAGTAAACCGAGCCACGTACAAGGTAGTTCTAGACATAACATACAGAGAGAAGAAGAACGGCCAAGTGGCAACTTTTGGCATCCACCCGTCCTCGCTGGAGATCACCAAGCTATGCATGGACAACAACAGGCAGGCCCTCCTCGAGAAGAAGAAGAAAGCTAGATGCGAGCAAGACAGCGCAAAACTGCAAAAGAAAGAAACAGCTGCTCAATAAATGCCAGTTTATTTATCTTACATTTCTTGCGCTATTTCCGGAGGAGGCGCTCGCGTATTTTTTTGGCCTTTTCCTGCAGCTCCCCTGGAAGCTCCTCCAGCTCGTACTCGTGGTACTGCAGGATCCGCGTGAGTATCTGCGTTGCGTGCTTCTTCGTGGAGAAGGAGTCCATGAGGAGGCTCTCCAGGGCGTCTCTCGGGGCTAGTCCCAGCGTAAATATGATGTGCAGCAGGGAGGAAAGCAAAGACGGATTTTCCGAGAGAAGGCTCTTTATCTCCTCCGGCCTGTTCACAGCCATCTGCTTCATGTGCTTGAGAATGTCCTTTGTCTCCTCGGGGGAGAGCGTGTCCAGTGTCCCAATTATCCCGTCTATGTCGAGCTTGCTCTCGGCAGGCGCCTGCGGGACTGCGTTGTTGTCGGCGTAGTTTATTTTCACTGCCCTGTTATTCAGCATGATTTTCAGCCTGTTCACGGCAATGTCTGCGACAATGGGGGACTCGTACGTGCAGAACCCGTATCCCTTGGACTTGCCGGTTGCCCTGTCAGTGACCATCCTAAAAGCAACGACTCTCCCCACAGAAGAAAGCTCTTCAACTATAGTTTCTTCGGGGATGTTGAAGTCTATGTTTCCCACAAAAACAGTGCATCCTCTGTTTCCCATAAAAATTTGCGACAGCCACTCGCAAATATCACCGAGAGACTCCGGGAGCTGCCGCCTACTGAAAGCACGCGGGCCAGCTCAGGCCCCGGAGGAAGATCAAAGCCCCCACGGCTGCGCACATGAAGAAGTATCCCTGCACGCCCCACTCGTTTTCGTACGCGCTTTCCCTGTAGAGGCTCCGCACGGGCCTAACGAGTGCCCTGAAAAGGAGGAACGTTGCGACTCCGAGGGCAATATCCAGGAACGTATGGTAGTACGTGACTGTGGAGATGAGCAGCCTGTTGTACTCGAAGATCACCGCTGCAGAGACCAAGGCCATTCCCCGCCTGCGGAGCCTGCAGTCATTGTACAGGACGGGGCAGAGGATGAAAATCCCGTTCAGGAGCATGAAAGTGTGCCCCGAGGGGTTTATGGGGAGGTGCGTGCAAGACCGCGTGAATATTTTCAGGTCCTTTATGTAGACGATGACGGAGTCCTTCACGATGATGTACGCGGCAATTTCTGCGAGCAGCCCAAAGAGTGCGTGCATGGAGGACCTGCTGAGAATTTGTGCGTAAACAAGCACGTACGGAATGAGGCAGCCAAGCCTGTGGACGACCAAAACCTCAATGCTCTCGCAGAATCCGAGGGTTTTCCTTCCAACCAAAACCCTTTCCTCCGAGGAGTTAAAACAGGAGTAGAGGAGAATGTAGACTCCGTACAAAAGAAAGACCTCAACAAACAGCGCCATAAAAAAGAAAAAGAAGAAAAAATATATGCAGCGCCTGCAAGGTGGAAGAACAATCTTTACTATTTATTCTGCTGTTTAGCCTACTTGGAGGATCTTGCTGGGACCTTTGCGACGGCCTCTTTAATTTCCTTCAGTGCGTGTGTTCGGAGTTCTCCTGTTAAGTTTACAAGAGTGGCTGCAGTGACCTCCTCAAGGTTGATTGTCTGTTTGCCCACCTTCCTGGCGAGTATTTCGCAGTCGTACGAAATCTTCTCGATTATGTCGCAGACGATGTTGCAGAGGCTTTCAACCACTGGCCCGCTGACCTGGGGGGGTGCTGCCTGGTAGGTGTTCTTGAGCATTCTCTTCACGGACGATCTGAAGTTGTACTGGCTCCTTGCGACGTGCGCTACCTTTTTCTTCTTTTTCTCGCCTGCACCCACGCTCTTTGCTGGGGCCTTGCCGGCTGGTGCTGTCACCTTCTTCTCTCCTGATGCTGCTACTTTTCCTTCACTCTTCATTGTCTTTTGCAAATAATTTTCTATTTATACTTTTGTTTTGGAGGGAAAACACCCGCCAAAATAGAGGGCAATATTCCGGATATTTGGGCCATTCGGCCACTGCCCAGGCGTCTCTGCGGAGTCCTTCCTGCAGAATTTCGGGCAGGTCTTCTCTCGGGAGGGCAGAAAATCGCGCAGGAAAAGCCGAGGCGGAAGGCCAAAAGTTCGCAATTCGCAATTGGAAATTATTTGTGCTATGGCCCGGGCCAGAACTTTCTCTATTATTTAGCAGAAAGTGCAGGGCTCGGATGCCTCGCAAAGAGAAAGAATGCTGACACTTTGGATTTCAATGGTGCTCTGTGCCCAACAGTTTATTATACTTTTTCTGCCTACCTCCCCTTCCGAAGTATTTCCATGGCCTTGGTCATGTTTTTTGGCCTTTTTGCTCTCTCGACGGGCTTCTGCAGAGGCTCTGCGGGGGCTTTGTCGGAGGGCCACAGGATTAGGAGGGAGGAGAGAAGGAGTGGGCCCAAAATGACGCCTGGGTACCCGAAAACGCGCAGGCCCAGGAGAACACTTACGCTTTTCAGATACTTTCCGCCTGCCATTTCCACGCCGAATGTTTTTCTTCCGTAGAGCTGCTGGAGAATGCAGAGGCAGAAAAAGGCGAAAGCACTTACACGCTTTCCCTCCGCCCAGAGGAATGCGGCTGTGGGGGCTCCGTACAGGCAAAGCGGCATAACAGGAAATACCGTGAGGAATGCGCTTGCAACAGCGCTGGTTACGACGAGGGGAGAGCCAAAGTGCGCGCACAGAATGAACCCGCACAGGAACCCGTATGCACTTCCCACGGCCATGCTGTGGACGATGTTCTCGAAGGCGCTGATTATGCTTGCGTGCCGGGGGATGGGCTTGAGCACGTAGTAAAGCGGATTGTTTTGCAGCTTGTAGAAGTACCCTGTGAAGCCCACGAAGAAAAGCGTCTGCCCGAGGAGGGAGACTGCGCTTTGGCTGCCCTGCAGAATTTCCTCTTTCAGGGAGATGATCTTCAGGTATATTTTGTAGTAGACAACGGACTCTGAGAGTGTCTGGTCGCTGTGTATCTCCAGATACTGCGAAATCTGGAAGAGCACGGGAGCAAGGACCTTTTTTGCGAGAGTCTGCGTCTCCGGGGAGGTGCTGATGATGCGAGCGGCTGAAACCGCGCACTCTTTCAGCTCATTCCCGCACAGGAGAACCAGGACGGAGGGAAGCACTGCCAGAGAGAGCAGCGGAAACGAAGAGAGCAGCAGGAGAAACGGCTGCAGGATGGGGACGTGCTTTTTCCCCACCTGTTTGCACAGAACAGAGTAGCAAACAGCCCAAAATATGGGCATGAAATGGCCTGAAAACAACAGATAGTTCCCGTACACGACCAGGCCCACGAAAAGGGCCCTCCACAACTCGTCCATAAACATGGGAAAACAAAAGAAATGAATAAAACTACAGAGTGCAGAAAGGGCAAATGCAAAAAAAAAGAGCATGTGCGCCCAGGGAAACGGCAGTTGACAGATTCCTCAGAGGGCTAGTGGGACGGGAGGTGGAAGTAGTGATTTTCACGGGGGAGGCGTACGCAGGCGTGCTTCTTGAGTACAACTCGCGGGGGAGCGTGCTGGTCCAGCTTCCGGCAGAGATCAAGCAAAACAAACAAGTGCTTGTTCGGTACAGCAGCATAGTGTATATTGCGCATAAAAATAAGAAAAAGTGAATGTTTGAATTTTTTCATGAACAGATTCATTAGAAAGGACCTGCTTGGGTACGGAACATACTCGATGGTGTACGAGGGGTACGATGTAGAGAAAAATAGCAAGGTGGCGCTGAAGATAATAAAACTATCGGAGGAGGAGGGGATGCCGAACACTGCCCTTAGAGAGATATCCATAATGAAAAGCCTGCTCCACAGAAATATCTTATCTGTTCTGGATGTTTTGCACACGGAGATGGAGCTGACTATAGTGCTTGCGTATGTGGAGACAGACCTTAAAAAGCTTCTTGGAGGAAGCGTGCAGATAGACAGGCTCTCCCTGATCAAGCAGCTGGTGGAGGGCGTGGCATATTTGCACAGCAAGCAGGTCGTGCACAGGGACCTGAAGCCGCAAAACATTCTGGTGGATGCTGCAGGGTGCTTGAAGATAGCGGACTTTGGGCTGGCGCGCAGCTTCGAGATAAAGATGCCAGCGTACTCCTCGGAGGTCGTTACGCTCTGGTATAGATCGCCAGAGCTTCTGAAGGGGGCGAAAGTCTACGGGTACGCAGTGGACATCTGGAGCGTGGGGTGCATCATCAGCGAAATACTGACGGGTTCGCCCCTTTTCCCGGGAACGGACAAGCAGGACCAGCTGATGAAGGTCTCGAAGTACCTGGGGATACAGGCAACAAACCAGATGGAGTACCTCCTGAAGAAGCACGCAAGCCACGACCCTGCACTCTCGGGCCTTGTTTTTGAGTGCTTGAAAGAGGCGCCGGAAAAGAGGCTGACCGCACAGGAGGTGCTGAAGTACATGAATAGAATGCAATAAAAACAAAGTGGAGGACCGAGTGTGCGCAGTGTTTATGGCAGAGGAGGGCGCTGCATCGTGGCTTGGGTTCGTTTTCGGCCTTATTTGCTTCTCCATTTGGCCTTTTCGGGTTATTGCGCGCTGTATGTGCCTGCGGGCGTGCTGCAGGCGGTTTTTGCACGGAATGGGCCACGCCTGCCCGCTTCTGGCAAGTGAAGAATACGCCCCGGATGAGAGAGTGAACGCATGAACGCATGAACGCATGAACGCATAAAGACATAAACGCATGAAAATGCGTGGAGAGCCACTTATACTGGAGCTGTGCATTTATTTAAAGCGCATTCTGGTGCCGAGTGTGTACTCGCATGCTCCTCCTTTGCGTAGAATCCGAAATTATGCGCGAGTAAATGCGCTGTGCGTGCTGCAGAAGAGGACGCGCGCAGAACCTTGTTTTTAACGCCCTCCTGTTCAGCAGAAGGCTCTGAACAGCCGGCTTTTCCTGCGCTCTTTTGCCTTCTCAAAAATGCAGTCCATTTTCTTTGCAAACAGCATGTGTTCGCTCCCTGTGTCTGCATCGTCCAGCACATCCTCAGCCTCTTCTGCGAAAAGGCCTTCCTCCAGGCTGTACACCTGCTGCATAGACTCGCACGCCTTGAGAGAAAGATCCCTCTTCAGAAGAAGGCAGTCGCGCTCAAACATTTCGCAGAGCATCTGCATCTGGTTTCTGGTTTGGTCTCTTACAATGTCAATGCTTGGATGCGCCTGCATGATGTACCGGTCCGTGGCAATAAAGGCGTTCAGCAGGCCGTTGTCTTTGTACTTGTACACCCTTTTCAGCGCGCACAGAAAGCACTGCATCTTTACGCGGAGGATCTCTGCACTTCTTTTTGTCAGCATGTCGATGTAGCACCGAGCAAATTCGTCCCCTATCCCCCGCAGTACTGGGTATGCTACTGCAATGCGGGCGACCTCTTCCCTGCTACAACTTCTCTCTTTCCGGTCCTTTTTGCTTCTTGCTGCCTGGAGATTCTGGGCTTTCCTCTCCAAAAATATGCAAAGCCTGCTGAGGTATCTGCTGTTCTCCAGGCTTCTGGCTATCCTGTGCTCGGCAAAGCATTGCTCCCGGCGGGGCGTATCGGGCGTGGAGTAGAGACTGTTTGTGCCACCCCAGGGAGCAGATTCTATATGCACCTGCACGCTTGCTTGGGCTTCTTCTGCAATAGCCTCCTCGTGAATCGCCAGGCTCAACTTTGCAACTGCCAGACTTAGAAGTAGTTTTTTCATTTTCATGATTTTGAAATTTCAGCACGCGCATGCATAAATAGACAGAAGCGATGTTGTGATTTTAAAAAGAAATTTTGATTAAAAATGTGCAAGAAAACAAACAGTTTGCACTGCTTGCATGCTTGCATTTGGACGGAGAGAGGCCAAAAATGCAAAACCCTGCGGGAAAGGACTGAAGGCGTTTCCTGGGGGCGGGCACGGCCACTGTAAATCTAGCTGGCTCACGGTTTATTTTTTGGCACAGCTTGGCCGTATAAAGCCAGCACAGAAGGCTGCTGAGCCCGCGAGAGTGCAGGCCGCACTTCTCTGGGCTTTTTGCCCTTCTCTTGTCCGCTCTGCATCCTGTCCTGCGGTGACGTCTTCTATTTGACGGGCTCTGAGTGCTTATTATTGTGCGGCTGCGCAAGAGTGCGCATTTATGTGCAATTATCCTCACGCCATGCACATATCCTTTCTAGAGAGTTACCCCGCAAGGCACCCTGCTTCTGCCCGCGCCTCTACTATTATGAGAGCTTGCTTCTTATTGAAACTCTGTTTTCTTGCGGATGAAAGGCTGCTAATGCTGTTTGTAGCGCCATTTAGGTCTACTCGGATGTACTCAGCATCCATGGCTATGCAGCACTCTTTAACTCATACGGGGTTTCTTGTGCTTAGCAGCTGAGAGTTGAACTTGTTTTCGATTTTCACGTAAGTCAAGTGTATTTTGGTGATTGCTTTGTAAACATTCTTCATTATTGTATGCCTTGTTATCTCTCCACTTAGAGCAGCTATAAGCACTACCTTCTCCTGGGCACTGTTTTTCTCGATTAGGCAGCCGCAGGATGAGGAGGAGCCCTCGATTGACTCGGGATCTGCACCTTCCACCGCACTTTTCATGCGGCCCTCATCCTTTGCCAGGCACTTGAAGCATATTCCAAGTATTTCTTCCAGCATGGGGCGCATTTTCTCCCTTTGCCTGCTGGCTTTTTTAATGCCCCACACTATGGCTTTCCTGGTTTTCCAGCTCCTATGGCCGCTGAACGCACGCTCCTTGAAATACTGCTTCATCATGCGAATGCACTTAATCTCCATTATCCTGCTTTCTTCTAGAAGTGTTTGGATTTTTCCTATTAAAAGGTCCTGCTCTATCTCCACCTGCGTAATCTTCTTTCTTAAAAAACCATTCTCGGGCACTCTGGCGTCCTCAGAATAGGAACAGCTTGGGATGGCCATTTCCGAGCCGTCTGTGCCCTCCTGGCTTGGGCCTGCTGCAGACCCCAGAAAAACGGGCAAAAAGGGCAGGAATACGGCTATATTTTGCAACTTCATATCTACTAAAAACTAGTTTTCAATTGCATAAATATTTCGCAAAATATCAGATATTCTAACTAGTTAAAAAAATATCAGATGCAATGGATTTGCTCTAAATCTTTGCCGTTCTAGAAAGAGTACACCTAGCACCATTCGGGCATAGCACACGCACTCCTGGCCCGTGCAAGACCACTGCAGAGTCTCTGCCTGTTTCCAGGTTTTCTCTCACTTTCTGGCATCCCATACGATATTTAGACCTTCTGGCACTCCAGCAGCAGCGCAGGAGCAGCGCAGGCAGGCCCTCCCGTGAATCTGCACGCTTTCTGCGACCGAACAGCTCAAATCCACGAAAAAGATGCATGTGCAGGCCCTCTGAAAAAGACTCTGAGGCGCAGAGCGCGCAGTTTTAGAAAAAAACTTCTTTATTTTCAATTCTCAATTGCAGGCTTTCCCTATTTCATTTTTGTGCTTAGCCTAGAAAAGAAACCCTCTTCATGAGCCTTCTGCTTTAGGCGCACCGTTAAGCACGCACTCCCAAGTCTTTCTCCTGCAGACCCTCGAGTCGGTGCAATAGTATGCTCTCGTATATGTTCTGCAGAGCTGCACATGGATTGCTCCTCCTTGCTGCCGTTTGCCTCCGCGTGCTCTGCTATCCGCGTGCATGCAGTACATCCTGATTCGTACGGAGAGCATACATATCGCCCTCGTGTGCATCTTCATGCGATTCAAAATAGCGCATATTTACACACTATTTCCAAGTGCCATGGATCCGTCTTTGATCTCTGCAAAGAATCGCTGCGCTTCTTCTATGATATTTGACTATTTCTCCAGGGAGAAGAATGCGAATAAAAACTAGGATAAGCAAAATATGCTGCAACTTCTGAGGCAGACGCTTTTGAGTGCGCATTTATTTCTTGGGAGAGCGCGGTGGCTTACGCACGCATGCACAGTTGCACATTCCGCCACTTCTGCATGGTCTTGCTACTTTCCGAAGAGTCTTTTCTGCATGAGCCCCTCAGACCTTGGTCTTGTCAGGCATCGTCTCCATCTGTATGGCGTCAATGCATATTTCGTAGAAGCGCTGCTTGATTTCGCTTTTTGTCTCCGCCTCCAGAACCTCCTCCAGGCCTTTCTTGCTGATTTCCTTGGCATCTTCTAGCAGGCTGCAGGCTGCTGCATTAATGTGCTTCTTGAGCTCCCTGCAGCTTAAGTAAACGATGTCCCACGTCTTGTCTGTTATTGGGTACATGTCGGAATAGTGTATTGTAATGAACTCTCGGATGTTTTGTATTTCGATGGTGTTCATGGTCTTGAGCCCTAGGAGGCAGTGGAAAATGCACAGGAATCCAGCCATTCTGTCGCTCAGAAGCTTCTCAGACTCTCCCGGGGATTCTGCGTTTTCTGGTGCAAAGGAAGTATTTTCCGTCATATTCGCTGCTAAGTAGTATATTGTGAAAATATTGGACACGCGGTTGATGTGCTCCCTTCCCCTGCAGGTTGAAAATTCCAGGCGTGGCTTTGACTTGTCCGCCTGTATCGCCTCTATCATCTCCCTCATCTGCGCCTTCAATTCTTCGTAAGCCTCTTCCAGCTGCTTCTGCATCCTCCTGATCCTGCCCGGAATAACTGCCCTATCCTTCGTGCTTTTCTCTCTTAATGCATAATCTACTGGAGTCTTCTCTTTCGGTGTATAATCTACTGGAGTCTTTCTCTCATATGGTGTATATGCATAATTTACTGAAGCCTTCTCTTTCGGAATATAATCTACTACGGATGGACTCTTGCTTTCATATGGTGTATATGCATGATCTACTGGAGCCTTCTCTTTCGGAATATAATCTACTGAAGTCTTGCTCTCATATGGTGCTAATGTATAACCTACGGATGGACTCTTACTCTCTCTTAATGCATAACCTACTGAAGTGTTGCTCTCTTTCAGTGTATAATCTACTGGAGTCTTGTCTTTCGGTGTATATGCATAACCTACTGGAGCCTTCTCTTTCAGTGTATAATCTACGGATGTACTCTTACTCTCATATGGTATATATGTGTGGCTCTGTGCCTGCATATGTACTTCCTTCGGCTGAATTATGGGCCAATCCATAGGCTCTTTCTCCAGGGCGCGCATGGGCACTGGCTCTTTTTCTGCGGGTGTTGCAGGATTTGCTAAAGGTTGCACAGGCTCTGAGACGGGCCCATCGTATACGGGTATTTTTCTTGTAATTTCAGAGAGAACCATCTGGAGCAGGCTTGAATGCAGGCCTGCATCGTCGAGTTCTGAAACTTTTCTGGGAGCCTGCTCTTCCTTCGCTGGATGCTGGCTGCTTTCTGTGCAGGAGTCTCTGGGGATATTGCCAGGCAGGCATGCTTGCTTCACCGGGTAGCAGGCATTTGCCTCTGTTCTCTCAGAGTGGGTCGCCAGAACTTTTGCCATGAAAGTTATGCTTATTGCTGTATGTAGCTTCATCTAATCCTTTAATTTTTGTAAAGTGCAGCATTTATGTGCGTCTGATCATTAGATAAATAAGCTTTTTGATAAAATCATTTTGATTTATTTCGATTTCCCCGAGTAGATCGAGCAGAATCCGGCAGAAGAATAGCCACTGCCACTTGGGAGTTTTAAAGGGTGGCTTGCCGTGGCAGATAAACAAAACATGCGCAGAGTGTAGGTGGACCCGTCTTTATTGGTTTGTCTGAGGAGTGTCATGTGAAATGCCCCCTTTCGCTCTTCCAAGAACTAGCCCATTCTAGCGAAAGCTTTGCCTTAGAGAAGAAAGACGAACAAGTCTTTCCTCTGCTGTTGCAGGCTCTTATTCCGTCGATGTTTCCACCCTGGGAGCCCACTTAGGCGGGCCGCGTTTTATCGGCCACACCCGTAGATTCCGCAGCTCTTCCAAGACTTTGTCAAATTTCTCTTTCTGTATTATGCGCCAGAACTCTTCGGAGTCGGCCTCGCAGTTGAGCAAAGAATCTGTCTCTTCGCTTTCACTTTTATTTCTCACCATACATTTATATTCAAAGCAGCCTTTTATAGACATATCTAAATGATGTGTATCATCGTCAGACCCATTCTCCTGTATGCATAAAGGGGATGCATCCTTATCAACAGATTTTGTATTGGCTATGACTAGGGGAGAGCGGCTGGGATTTTGCAAGTGGTTATTAGGCTCCGCATTTTCTTTCTCGTCTGAGTCTGAATCTGAATCTGAGTACTCTTGGCCACAATAGCATTCTTCTTCATCCGAGCCATTGATTAAAACATATTTTATCGTGAATGTTTCATACAACGGACTCTTTGGGCAAAAATCTGCCGATACTATGCGCGTAAGCTTCTCGTTTAGACTAATAAGCCTTCTTTTCATCACGCAACACACAGTGTAGATTTGCGAGTATAGTGCCTCCTTCACGTTCCCTTCTGCATTGCAGTCTATCTCCTCTAGAGTGCACAAAGTGTCTGCTCCCATCGATTTTGCATCGTCACTGACATCTACTTTATTGAGATAACTCATAATTTTCTTGACTTCCGCCTGTATCTCTTGCACCATTTCACTGCTCAGTATAGTGTCCTCTCTTTTCTCGATGAACGCCCCCAAGCGCTTCAGGCTATCATGTGCAACTATCGCAGGCCCGAACTCCATAACTATATCATCACATTTCTGCGGCTTCAGTGGATTTGCACCCTTCCTGCACATTGCATGGGCACATATGCAGTGCCTGTAGAGTTGCTGGTTGGATTCAATAGCTTCTCGTATGTATTCTAGAAGATAGTTTTTCCTCTGCCCACTATCTGTTTCCATGCATCCAATCACACCTGCTCCCAAAATAAGAAGAAGCGCAATCTTTCTTGTTTTGACCATTTGTTTCTTCCTATAAATCTTTAAAATTATTATAAAGGATGGCCTTTCCCATCAATTTTTCGAATTTTGCATTGCACTTTCCCATAATAAAATCATATCTGTGCGTGAATCTGCAAAACTATGCTTTATTTCTATTTTGAAAAAGGCCTTTTATATCAGGAATAAAGCATAGTTTTGCACGGGGAAGGCATTTACACGCCAAAGGCAGGGATCTGCTGGAGGAATGCTGCCATCTTGCCTTGTTGTGGCGCATGCATCTGTGCTTGAAGAGAGAAAACACCTGGGATTTCCCTTGCTTCTGCACTCTGAAAAAGCTTTCCTCTACAAATAAAACTTGATCCATTTCTTTATTTTTCTGCCTCTTCCACGCCTTCTTCTAAAGGCGCAAAGTGAATCTGGGGCTCGATGGAAATAACACACCTGCTAAAAGTGTCCACACTCCACCTTTTGGGAGACTTTACTGTGCTTCCTCTTGCATGCGCTGTGGAATCTTCTCTCCCGGCAGGAGGAGACTTCTTGCAGGCCTTTCAGTGCGGACATCCCGCCCTACAAGGCGCAAATAGATGGACACACCGCCAGCTGCACCAATACCCACCGTCTCTTACTTCCTAGTGTTTTCACTCTCTAATGCACTTACTTCTGGATTTTTCCCTTTTTTGCACCTATTTATGGCCTCCTCAACTGAACTTTCCACACTCTTCTCCATCTCCTTTACTTCCCTTTTAATGGCTGTTCTCCAAATGGACAGCGTACTATAGAAGTCGTTCATAATCTGGGCAATATCTTCCCACACCTTCTCAACCGAAGCTGCTTCTTTTTCCGTTGGCACGTGCGCCTTACAAACCCCTCTTGCAGCCCGAATCATCTCCCTCTCCTCCGAGTTCTTCACCATATCCGCCATCTCATTCTTAGACTCCTGCATAAAGTTCGGCATTTCAAAGTATGCAAACATGCGAAGTTCTAGCCCGTCCATCCTCTCGAAATCGCACCCACACGCCTGCACACTCTCCTTCAGGTTCTCGTACGCTGCCTCCAGGCGCTCCCTGCGCTCTCTCAGGGCATCCTTGATAATTTCTATCTCTGCCCTGTACACTCTGTATATGCATAATCTCGCCTGAATTCTTGCTTCTTTGCTCGTGCATATCACTGCCCTGCAGATACTCCTGAGATGCTCTATGTCTGCGTTCGTGAAGTTCGTGAATTTTCCCCTGTTCTCCCCCAGAAGGTCTTTTATGCGCGTTGCACCAGTCTCTGCACTGCGAATGGAGTCGTTCTCTGCTGTTTCGTCCAAAACTCTGCTTACACGCAGGCGCATCAGATTTGTGTATACGACACTCCAGCAAAAAGCAAGTCTTTTCAGGCCCTCCTTTGCGTCGTGCATGGTCTGACTGCGGGCCTGTCTTGCGCTGGTTTTTTCCTCGAGGAGTTTCACGAACGCATCGAACTCGCACATCCCAGCCCACGCCAGGCCTTTCAGTGCGTTCGCCTCTCTCTCCTCCTGGACCCCCAATACGGCAGCTCCTCTTGTGCCCCCAACTATTCCCAGAGCCCAGAGAACTGTGCATGCCATCCTATTCGCTCTCATTTCCACGTGCTATTCTGTCCTCTATATACGCTTTATTAGCATTCCATATGTGCGCATTCTGCTCTTATTACAAAGTGCAATTACCCCGAGCTCTCCTTTCACATGCGCGGAGTGTGCATGCCCGAAACTGCAGGGTCCACGGAGTCCCGCACATACGCCCAGCCTGCACTGCATCCACCGGAAATCCACCGGAAATCCAACGAAAAACCACCGAAAAACCACCGGAAATCCAAGCATGTGCAGGAATAAACTAAACCCCAGGAGCTCCTTCCGGACACTGTAAATGGCTGCGTACATCACTGAATAGTAATAGTTTCTTTATTTCAGAGGCACAAACTTCGACGAAGAAGTAGCACCAATTCCGGGCTTACCGTGCGACACCATCTTTTGCGGGGAGCTGAAGTCTGCGAGCTTAAATCCTATCATCTCTGGCTTCACTTCAAACGTAATGTACTCTTTCCCGTTGTACACACCGAGCACGCACCCGACCATCTGCGGGAATATTATCATGTACCTGCAGTGCGTGGTCACACACTCTGGCTTCTCGCGGGTTCCCTCTGCAGCCATCTTCGACTTCTCGCAGTCCAGGAGGAACTTGATCTCTTTCTGGGTGAATCCCCTCCTTACTCTCCTGCGGGCGCCTGACTTAAGAAGATGTGCAAACTCCTGAATTGGCATCTTCACCAACTCTTCAAAGTCAACTCCTCTGTACTCAAACCTCCTAAATGTTTTTCTCTTCTGTGCTTGGGTATTTTCCATTACGGGGGTGAAAAAAAATAAATTCTATTACGCCTTCCTGCAGAAAAGTGCCACCGCCTGTCAGTTATTTGTGACTGTGCACTCGCCCTCGATGACTCTAGCGAGGGAAACCATAGAGGACTCCAGGAGCTCCTCACTCGCGTACACCCCAGATATTTCTATTGGGGAGAGACTCTCTTTTTCTTCGACTGTGTAGTACACCACGAAGGGGAAGAGCGAGTCTGTGTCGTCGCAGAGGCCGGAGAATTCAACGGCCTGCGAGTCGTCCTTCTTCAAGTCCTTCATATCTGCTACTATGTGGTCTCCTGATATCCGCCCTCTCTCTATCTCTATATCAGAAACCCTCTTTATTGGTATTCTTACATTCACGTATTTCACGTCTGTGCCAAGAGCTGTCACCTCCACGAAAAACTTGTACCTCTCCTCGGAAACTTCCGTCTGCCAGAAGGAGACTTCAACTGGGAGAACTGGATCCTCAAGCGTCCACTTCATCAGGATCAGCGGCGTATTCAGGGGAAGGTCTGTCTTTGGCTGTATTACATTCTTGCTGAACGCCTTCTTGTCGATGGAGGGGTGGCCTCGTGCCTGTACTGGCCTCTTTTTCAGGTCTATCCGCACGGACCCGCACTCTTCGTCTGTCACCCGGATCAAGAACTCGCCCATTCCCTCTATCTTCGCTGCCTCTGTAGCGGAATTCACGGTAGCTGTCTGCTTCTGGTGGCACACGAGGTTTACGCAATTCTCGAGGGACTCGATAATTGTCCGGCTCTTCTTCACCTCCTGCCGCACCTTCGCCTTTGCCTCGCTCTCCGTGCGCGGAGTCTTCAAGTCCTGCCGGAGGATTTTTATTTCCTCAATTTCTTTTGTAAGCTCTTCTATTGCAGGATGCATTTTCCGGACTTTATCTGCCTTCGCCTTTTCCTTCTCCCTGTTCTTCTGGATCATCTGGTGCAGGACTTCGTCGTTGCTCTGGAGGCTCACTACTTTCATTAGGTCTTCGACCGTTCTGTTTATCACGCCCTCCTCCACGAAGAGCTCGTCCAGGATCGAGAGGAGCGTAAACAGCTCGGTCTTGCTCTCCAGGCTTACCCCGCTTATAACGGACTTACTGACTACCTCCGCAATCTTCAGGGCTTCAGATATCTTCTCATCCTCCCCATCTGCGAGCACGACCACGTACAAATCGTCTATCTCCTGATAGAAGAAGCTTCCTATCTTGCTTGCTATCACAGGCCTCTCTGCCTCTTTTGTCCGCTCCCTCAGGAATATCTCCACAGCCTCCGTTACTTTCTCTTTGCTCAGCTCCACCAAGGGCCTTGCCATATACGATCCTGCCTCGTTCACTAATAGCACAGCTGCGAGCATAGCACAATATAAATAAAAAATACTCAATATTAAAATTGCACATGCTACTGCAGCATCTTCTCCCCCTGTGGAGTTCTACCAGGTTTGTATTTAGCAGAGTCTTTTTCAAAGAAGAAAAAGCTTTTGTCAGCCCCAGCACGAACTACTTCCTGATTATTGCGCACCCCGACGATGAAAGCATGTTTTTTGGGCCTCTAATCAGCAAAATAGATTCTTGCGGGGGAACACTCACAATTGTTGTTTGCACAGATGGGGGACTTGGCAGTGATCCCTGCGTGAGGAGGCAGGAAATGAAGAGGCTGTGCGAAGACTACAATATAAAAGTCTTCTTTTTGGAGAAACCAGACGGCTTTTTGAGCGCGCACAAAGAAGTCCTGCACAGTCTTGAGGTGATATACAGCAGCACGAGAAGCACGAGCATCCTCACATTCGACGAGCACGGAGTAAGCGGGCATCCGGACCACATATTCTGCTACTCGCTTGGGAGGTCCCTCGCAAAAAGGGTCGGGCTTCCCTGCATCCACGCCCTTCTCTCCGTCTCTGTGCTGGACAAGTACTTCAGTCCCGTTCTGCCCCCAGGGAGTTGGAGGAGATCTCCGGAGAGTGCGGTCGTTTTCAGCACTTTCCGGGAGTCTCTTGCGAACAGAGCGAGGATGTTCTACCATAGGAGCCAGCTGAAGTGGTACCGGCTCCTGTACATCGTCTTCTCCTGCTACATGGACTGCATCATTCTGAAGCGTATTCCCACCCAGTGACTTTTCTCGCCCTATCTTCAGGGCTTTTAGGGTGATCTCTTGGGTGATCTCTTTATGCGCGTATTAACCAGCGAATCTTCTGCGCCCAGAGCTGATAAATAAACAGAGAGAAAGTGCATGTTTTTTAAACGGGAATAAAATTTAAAAGGTATACTTTATTTGTATGCACTCCCCGAGAAACTTCTAAACAAGAAAATTAGGAAGATTTATGCGCTGCACCGGAGACTTTTCCTGTGAGAGCACTCTGAACTTTCTCTGCAGTGAAAGCCTCTGCGTGCTGCACCTCCCCATCTTCTGCTTCAACTTCTGCTTCAACTTCTGCTTCAACTTCTGCCTGTTCAGGCTCCTGCTCAGTCTTTGCCTCTGCCTGCATAAGTGCTAGTCTGTGCTCGGGTGCGTGATTCTCTGCTTTTTCAGGCTCTCCTGGGGATGCAACGGACAGGGCGTGCTCTGGAAGGTCCACCTTCTCCAGGGAAGCCTTCGCAAGGAGTGCGGGGGCGTGCTTCACCTCCACTGCAGTTTTCCCTCCTTCTCTGGGGATGCTCTCTGCACGAACAGGCACCTCCAACGCCTTCTCTTTCGGTGCAGCCCTGACGGGAGCAGCTGCTTCCTTCACTGGAGCAGCTTCTGCTACTTTCACAGGCAGACTCGCCAGAGCGTGCTCTCCTTGCACACTTTCCTCCGCTGGGAGAATAGCTCGGGGCAAGTCAGCACCTGCACTAGTGAGTACTGGGTCCCTGGGGAGCACCAGCCGAGGGAGTGCCTTCTTTCCGCCCTTTCTCTGCGGGAGAGAAACTGCGTGTTTTTTGGCTCTGTGCGAGCTTCTGTGCTTGTGCGACATTATCTTGCTAGCACGGGGAGTATTCTGGAAGTGCTCCACCCGGATAGGAGCCCTTTCAGGCACGACCTGAGATATTGGCATTTGCGGAATGCGGGTTTCTGGACGATGCAAAATTCCCTGGGAAAATCCTCCCCTCGGGGATATGCCCATGATGCGGTTGTGCATCCTGTGGGGGGATCCCTCCATGAGAGAAATTCTGGGCTTCGTGTACCGCACATAGTGGGCTTCAGCAGGAGTTTGCTCTGAAAACGTCTTTATCCTCATGAAAGAGGGCATGCTATTCTGCGGGAGTGAGTACTTTACGGGCTCTTCCTGGTCCTGGATTATGTTCTTCATTAGCATTGTTGGTATCTCAGAGGCTCGCATGTGGTTGGACTCTGCGGAGAGACTCGGTCCCCCCAGAAGCTTAGGCACCAGGTTCATCAGTTCAGGCCTCTCTATCAGGGCTTTTGCGATGTTTTCCGTTTGGATGTTTCCTTTCAGGTAGTTTTCTATGATGCTGTCCATCAGGGTGCTTGGCATAAGGTTTACGTCTGGCATAGGGCTCATTGATCCGCTCATTTTCTCAGAGAGCAAGCTCTCCTCCGGCCTGTGGGCTTGCTCTATCTTGGCCGCACTCAGGGGTGCAATGCCCTTGATTTTCTCCATTTTCCTCTCGATGTTTTTCAAGTCCCCTGCGAGGGTCTTCTCCACCTTTTCTTCGCCTTTCTTCTTGAGGAGCTGCGATATTTTGCTCTTCACCACGTTTAGGTCTGTCATTAGCTCAAGCAGGACCTTCCCCGTCTGCGACCTGTGCGTCAGTGTTACATACCCAACAGTAAAAACGAATGCCACTGTGCATAATACAAGAGTGCCCTTCATGATGACTTTTGCATGTCCTCCTTTTATAATGCACGTGAAACATTCCCACAGCAAACAAACAAAAGTCTCCAAGCGACGCAATCGCACGCTCTAATACAGAGCAGGGCCGAAACAAAGCCCAAGAACAGGAAGTGCAAAGAGGCAA